AAAGTTGTGCTCGCGATAATGCCACTACAATAATTAATCAAACGTTAATAAGAGAAAGACATGCAAATAGTTATGGTTACACGGATGAAGCATATCATCATAACACCAATAATAATAATAATAATAATAATAATAATAATAATAATAATAATAATAATAAACCGGCCCCCGTAATGATGGTTGCGGCAGCCGTCGTCAGCGCCAAGGAAGCTGCAGGTTCGAGACCTGCGAAGGCATGGTCGTATTTGTGATTGTGCCTTCACCCCCCTCATCATCATCCTATCACCTCGTAATTCACAATTCAAGGCGTAACAACCTTGTCTTACCGACAGATACAGCTGTAAAGCTGATCCCCATACACGGTAATCGTGTAGCGGGGTCAGAAATGGCCAATATGCAAAAACAAAAATATTTTAATTATAATATTAATATTATTATTAAATCGTAATAGTAATGTCGCTAAACAGTACGTATTGGTGGAGGCGAGTCCTGCTACAAGTATTCAAGTACATCGGTGAAATTCATCGGAGTACAACGTGAAACGAGTACTAATTCCCTCTGACGACACAGGAAGGACAGACAGGTTGTGGCGAATTCACAAAGAACGACGGATGTGAAATGTAAATGCACTGCTACTACCCAAAATTCTCGTCACAGTGTGGAAGCTACAAATTAATAAAAAATTGCGTTACTAATAATGTGTTAATAGGTTGACTTCTAGGCTGTCCGGGCGACGCCGCGTCGTTGGCAGAGAGGCCGAAGTTTCGCCTGTCATATCGCAGGCTTCTTCAGGGTAGTGAGAAGTCTCAGGGTAGTCGGCCCTTCTGCCAACGGCGCGGCGTCACCAGGACAGCCTAGAAGTCATGAACTCGAGCCGCGGAAGCCTACGTGTACGTCTTCATAGGTTGTCCGATTTTCGATCGGTTAGTGGTATGTCTCGAGAATAATATTATATTATATATATATATATATATATATATATATATATATATATATATATAGTTTACACTGTGAAACCACTTTCCAAAAATACCAAAAACTCACTTTAAAATTGCCATTCTTACTTTCGGGAAGACAACATTTTTCACATCCCAACTTTTGCCTTCCCTAATGGTATGACTGAAAAGAAAAAAAGAACATCCAAGAGTATATTAAAAAAAGCCTGATCATATTTGCAAATTTACATTGAACAATTTTGAAGCCATTTTTAGAAAATTCCATCTGTGTAATTTTGAAAAAAGTCAAAATGGCGCAGGCACGGACGAACAGATTGACGGGCAGAGATGGACAGACACGGACGGACAGACACGGACGGACAGACACGGACGGACAGACACGGACGGACAGACACGGACGGACAGACAGACAGACAGACAGACAGACAGACACGGACGGACAGACAGACAGACTTACACAAATGGACGGACGGACGGACAGACAGACTTGCACAAATGGACGGACGGACGGACGGACAGACTTACACAAATGGACAGACGGACGGACGGACGGACGGACAGACAGACAAACAGACTTACACAAATGGACGGACGGACGGACAGACAAACAGACTTACACAAATGGACGGACGGACAGACAAACAGACTTACACAAATGGACGGACGGATGGACAGACAGACTTACACAAATGGACGGATGGACAGACAGACTTACACAAATGGACGGATGGACAGAGACTTACACAAATGGACGGACGGACAGAGACTTACAGACAGACTTACACAAATGGACGGACGGACAGACAGACAGACACACTTACACACAAAGTCTTGGACAGAGGCAGACTACGTTTTGAGAAGGTTATACCCTCTCTATAGGGTGTGCATTTGAGATACTAAAAATTATAGACTATATATGACAACATCACTATGGTATTAGATTTAAGATATATTGTCCTCTGTCTATTCTGTTCTAAGAAAGCCCAATTTAATGTTTTTTTTCCTCAAACTTTTAAAGGGGATGTAATATACAGTGGATGTACATGTGATCCAAGAGCGAAAACTATTGTGCTCATGGTATTATGTCTTTTTTCAAAAAATTGTATGTGTTATTCCTGCTGCACACGTAAGTGAGTAATCAAGGTATTTAATTGTTAAAGTGTGTAAAATTGATAGAAAAAACAGGAGTTAAGTTTTCTTTTCTCTTATTGTTGATAGTAATCATGTAAATCAAGAAGCACATGAGCAGCAATAATTCAATTAACCAACATTGTAAACATGTTTTCCAACTGTAGCACATGATGAAGTCAAAAGTCTCGGAAATATTGTAATAAATGTAACCTTCTTTAGTTTTATAAATTTTAAAATTTCTTAGTTTGAATGAATTATGACATAACAGATTTCGAAATTTTAATTATGAATGCAAATAAAATAGGGAATGGAAAAGTATTCACTATCTTAAAGAGAACCAAATCCAAAATTCGTATCATTATTACTTTCTTCACATCTCCTTTGAATTACCATTCCAAGGATTATTTTGCAAATAGTGACTCTCCTAGGAGGATAGGTTGCTGGACAAACTTTAAAGATTGGTAAATGTGACCCATGTTGATGATGAGTTTGCAATTAGACAAGGAAGGTGAAGTAGATTCTTCTTACGACTTTAATAATTCAGATAGGGGTACATTTATTTTACCTGCAGACAAAGTTGTGCTTGCTGTAAGCTTAGCTTGGCATACTGTGTTCCTTCTTGTAAAAGCACAACAGAACTTTTTAATATGTAGACATCAACTTGCACTTGTACATAAAATTGTCTGTATGAAACAAAGTCTTAGAGAGAAAATAGTTTCTGTTTCTTGTAATTGTACATTTGCAAATACATTGCTAGAGAAGCTTCTGAATATGGTGCTCAGAAGAACCAGATTATTAGAAAATAACTTTGTAAAAATAAGAAATGATACTGTAAGACACTGCAATGTAACAAAATAAAAGGGAAGAAGCTAAAATGTTAATATAGTGAATGATGTTGCTGTTCATTAAAGATTATTAGAACTTGTAATTTTTGTTTTATATACCCTTATACAAAATCTGACATTTGATTGTAAAAGAAAATGATTTATTGTAAATGTATCTTTTTAATTATTTGTAATTCACTTAGAAAAGCGGAATAAATGTTTCTTAAAATTGAATTATCACATCTGGCTGTTGAGATTTTATATGCTTCCAATAAATTAAGAAATGTTCAATCCTTACATAAGATTTCCGAATAAATGTTTTAATTCTCTATTATCTCCAATGATTAAATAGAAAAATAAATATGTACTCTGAGAAAGTATGTTCGTACCAGCAAAAAAGGAAGTTTAAAAGCATTACAGTAAATGAACATTGCAAAAAGAGCAAATAGGATGTTCAAAATATGTTTACAGCTTCATTTCAGCTGCAATGAACACATACATAAGCGAAGCCGATGAGAAAGACACCCTGCCGGCCTGAGAAATCGCGTGTGGCGACCACTAGGACCAATTTGATCACATGACAAAATTCTGACGTACGTGCCAAAGACCATTTATTCAGCAGTTATTGCAAGAGAAAATTCCTCTTTGCTAGCGCTGCGAAACATTGAATTTTCCTACAAGTATATTTCGGTACAATTAGCCTTTAACTGAATTGACAGATAGCGTAAGAGGCCCGAACGAGAGTAGGAAATACAGGAACCGCGCTGAAAATGGATTCATCATGCTTCGTTCAACAGGGAATAATGGAATAGATAACGGAATGAAAAGGCACACAACTAAAAATCACAAACACGAGCAGTATAAAGGTCCCTACGAATAACACACATTGTATGGTTGGCGAGAGTTCGTTCGAGGAGGCGCGCAAATCGACTGAAGTAGATCGAATGGGCACTACAAACTAGGGTTGGTGGGGGTTTGATAGAAATGAAAGTCACATTACGAATAATCATTTTTGAAAAACAAATGCGCAAATAGAGAATTTTGTCAGACGAATGTTAAAGGCACGAAGAATCACTATCACGCTGTCATGCACATAAGGAATAACACTGCCCAGAATAATAGAGATATACACAATTCTTGAAATGAAAAATTGCATTTACGATACAAAAATGCAAGAAAATGAATAAATATCACTCTTAGAATTGACATAATCTATGAACTGCATTCAGAAGCTGGAAAAGTATCAGGAGCTCTGGCATTTCAAACGCCGGTTTTAATTAAGAAGAAATAACAACCCTACTGACCTTGCCGTTTGTACAGGAAGTTCGACTACAATGGTTATTCACGATTCACAGATCATTTATCCCATGGGAATGTATTATGTAAACATCCAATTGCACGAATAAACCCGTTTATCACAAGGTGTAACTCAAACTGAACTCTCTATTGAAAATTATAACAAATTTTGATGGAATTATTATTTCGGTCCACCTAATAAGGATAATTACTTTTCCATAAACAAGAGCCGAACTTCAAAAACACATACAATTCAGCAATCCGTAAGATTCGGCGACGAGGAAAATAAAATGCTACTGTTTTGACATTTCGACAACGAAATACGTCATTGGTGAGCTAGAAATACGGAAGCAGCAATTCCTTAACTTCAAAACATACATGATTGTTCGCATATAGGGCAATGCATTTTCATAATTTCCTAATTCTTCGCACTTATGACAAAAAGCTACATCTTATAACACGAGGCAGGCCAATAACCTGCATCATGCTGTTCTCAAGAAACCTACATCCCATCTCAATCGTTGAAAACATATACAAAACTCGCAAACACACAAGTATATAGTTTCTACAATGCTCTTCAATTATTTTAATGTAACACACGTTTTTAAATACCACTAAAAAATGCGAGTTTAGTCACAAAATATTAAATATGTTCCGAAAACAATACTAATCAAATGCGGATAAACAATATCAGGAAGTGTCAATGACACATAATGATCACTTAAATCAGTAATGGAGGCATTGACAGCCACTAGCCGCGAAATTGCGGTCCTTCATACTTTAAAAAGTTTACCTTTAATTGTAATGATATCCACACCACATCGTGTATCTCTTCAGTCACAACAATGCAACTCCACCGTAAGTAGCACACCGCTTCAACACAGTACCTCTACGACCTCTACCACATTATGACAACCACACAGTGTTCTCGTCCCCGTCCATTACAAGCTTAAGAGCGATATACCTACCGTTCATGAACGACTCCCCGAGAACGAGATTTGAATTCTTTGAACGTTCAATGAATCTCACGTTCTTCCGTGGCAAGGGGATTACAATCATGATGTAAATAACCATGATATTATTTACATCGTGGTTATAATATAATCTAACTTTCTTGTTCAGTGGGAATCATAGATAAAAATATATGGATCACTGGTTGGGAGAATGCTGACGAGCAAATGATACCCGCATCCACCACCAGGAGCGCTACAAACATTCACTCTTTGACAGATAGGTAGTCTGAGGAGTATTTCGTTTTTGCGTCGAGGAACAAGTGCGCGATCGATTTGAATTAATATTAGTTTGTGAAATTTTGTTTGTGTGTTAGGATTATCGGAGTATTTTCCTTTTTTGCTTCCTTAACGACAAATTCAGACAGATGTTGACGAGAGTGAGGTAATGTCTCACGATCATAATGTCTGACGCGCCCCATTTTCTTAATTAATTTTAATTTTCTTAATTAATCTTTATTTCTTTCGACATTCAATATATGATAGAATCTTAATTGTCAATATGGTGGAATCTTAATTAACAATTATATAATGGAAAATTAATTACATTACACCAACTATTCTAAATGCTGCTTTCATTTTATCTATTTCAAAATTTAATATACTTTACTTGTTAATAATTACATTTTGTTAAATGTCATTGTTAGATACTTTCATTTCTCAGAGTTATTTGGCATGTCATTGATAAATTGCTTACTTAATTTTCATTTATCCTGCATCTGTAACCCAAATTATGATAGTTGTTGTTAATAAAGCATAAAGTCTTGATGTGTATGCTTGTCCCTGGACAAGTAATTGCTCATGAAAATTTTGAATTCCATTCAAAGGAATCATTGCGTACCAGTGTCCAGGAGTGTTGCAATTCCAAGAGCTGAAATTTCTAACCTACTAATCTTAAGCAATTGCTGCAATTATATTCTTTCGATCTTAGGCAACTATATTCTACGATTTGTAGTTCGGTGATTTATTTCACTCTTCAGTAATAATTTAAAGTCAATCTATTTTTTGAATGTTATTTTATAAAATTGCACTATTGTTACTTGTTATTAATATGATAAAATATCCTTTCATTTCTTTTTTTATTCAAATTATTCATTGTTTTTGTTTTTATCCCAGTTGTCACTGAAGGTGAGTTCAAAAGAGTGACTTGCTTAGTGCTTCATTCATGGTATCTGAAAGTTTGTTTGTAATTGCTTAGTTATTACTTCTGGATGCCCTAAGATTCAATGTTGATGACACTAAGCACATGATCTCTAGTAGGAAATTGGTAAAACTTTATCTGATGTTTAAGCATGTAAGAAAACTAAAATGAGTTCTAATTGATTGAGGATTGATTTTGTTCATGTGGAATTCACTGAATGATCTTGTTATTTTCATAAAATTCAACAGCATTTATTGTATCTTTGTCTGATGATTGGATATTTCTTATTGTAATGAATCTTAAGTCTTATATTTACTGATAGCTTTTGGAAATCATTTTTTTTAACTGGGATGTTACTGTTTCATGTAAGTAAAAAAGTGCTGACATTTTGATTTTATTTGATAAATGTCAAAGCAGAGATATTTATCATCAGAAAAGCAATCTTTTTCTGACAATTCTCACAATGCTATTTCTGTATATAACAACCACTGCTCAACTACATATTGTATTTCATTAGTGTGCTTTGCAATTAATCATTTTTTACAGTTTTTGTTTGATTTTAAACATTAAATAAATGTCTTACACCAACAATTGTCCTTATAATTATTCCTTACAATTGTATCATGTACCTTCTGTCATTTACGATTAAGAACCGTCTGGGTACATATTCGAAAAACGCAATGCCTTGGTTGTTGTTTTTTTTTTTTTTTTTTCAGAAATAATAAGATAAGAGTCACTCTTCAAATTAAAAATACAACACAAAGCAGGAAATTAGGTATTAATAACGTGGTAAGTGCACTTAATTTCCTCTATACTTTTAGAGGGGCTGCGAAAAATAGTTTAATTGTGAAAACTCCCTCTTTACTTCATTTTATTTATAAGTGCACCTCAAGGAAAAGGTAAGCTGTGTTGCCACATACTCGCGTGGCTATCACGTGGCAAGCACATGGCTGCGGCCACCAGCCTCGTTGAGAATGATGTTGAAGCTCCCTAATGAAGACTCTCCCTTATTCATATTTGACCTTGAGGTGCAATTATAAATAAATCGAAGTATAAGTATTGACAATAAAGACAGTGAGGGGTCGAGCTTAGGTTGTACAACCCCCCAGATATCGAACAATATCTTATAAGCTGTTAGGAATATAAATGGAAATCAATAATCAAGATATTTCTGCAATATCGATAAACATCAAATATTATGAAACCAATGAGTTCCCAACGAGCACTCTCGTCGGAGTCTGGGGTTCTCACAGCCTTGCACCAGGCAACGCTCTTGGCACTAATGACTGCAGTTAACTGCATTTATACTTCGACTCTATGCATCAACACAGAGCCATCAGCCCGGCAATCAGTCATCCTCCATGGCTTGGGGAGGTCTCAAATAGACCTACAGAGTGTCCGATACCAATTTTCTATCTTCATCTGACACTAGTTACAACTTGATTTTATGAATTTTGCGTGTTATTGGAGGTTCAATCAATTGTTGACGACTTTAAATGCATTGTATATGATGTTTGGAGTATTTATATTCATTTGATGTTAAGTTTGATAATTCAAAATGTACATTTGATGAGTCCTTTGTGTTAACTTGGCCGTTCTGGGAGGATATCCCTTTCGCCATCGTGAGTGCATATTTCTGCCTGCAGTTACAGCCAAGCAGTTCAGTTAGTCTGCGAACGTTATTTTGAATACGAGTGTGAGTGTGTGTGAAATATCTTACATTATTACAATATGTACCCACCTAGTGAAAGTTTCGAAATAAAATAATTTTATGTAAAACTTGTTCAAACGATAGTGCTTGTGGTACACGTAAGCTTCCGCAGCTCGAATCCATAAATTCTCGGCTATCCGGGAGACGCCGCGGCTCACTGCCCTGAGGAAGCCTGCGACATGTCAGGCGAAAAGTCGGCCTCCCAGCCAACTACGCGGCGTCTCGCGGATATCCGAGCATTGATAGTGCTTGTTGCAAAGTGCTGTAGTGCGATCACAGTATTTTTCGAAACCAAATTCTTTTTTATGTAGCATCGTAGGCGTTAACGGCCAGAGTCAATATAAGAGAAATTTTCCGGTCCGGTAGGCCCTGGTTTAGTTGTCATGGAAGGGCCAAACGTTTCGTCCACGACTACGTTAGACATCTTCAGTGGCGGCAGGACCTCGAGCGCAGTATCTGGGGCGGCGGCTAGCTGACGAGTGGCGACAGGCAAAATAATAATAATAATAAAAAAAAAAAATAATTAAAAAAAAGTTATCATCACCACAAGAAGCAGAAATAACAAATAAGGTCATGAAATTAACAAGTATAAGACATGTCCAAACAATAGTGCTTGTTGCAAAGTATTGGGTGAGTATTTTTGTAACTTGCTTCGGTTTTGTTTTGTATGACGTCTATTATCGGCAATCTCAACGCAGAACTAATACAAAAACTCGAGTACCCCTTGGAAATGTGTACAGGGGGTGAGCTACCTGATACCACTACAGACCCTGCTTATACAATTATATGAGTAATGTTTGAATAGACTTTTAGTTAATTTAAACTAGTGGAAACCGGGTGACATTCTGCCCTTCACCTTCCGTGACCCTTTCTTCGTCTCTCCCTCTCTCTTCGTCTCTTCCTCTCACCCTCGCTCTCTCTGTCCCTCTCATACACATTCAGTTGCGGATATTGCTCGTCCCTGACCAGGTAGAGAAGCGCCGAACCAGCAAAAGAAGTAATAGAATGTTCAAGAAGATCTCAGCTTGTAGATTACGGCGTGAAAAATGTTTCTCTGATGTCGAAATTTTAATTTTAATATCCTAGAACGCTTTGTTTAGAATATATTTAAATATATAAGTAAAAAAGTATTACGTGTGTTGCGGGTTGCATTTGACATAGACGTTTTCATTTTGTTCTTTTTTTCGTTATTTTTTCCATAAAGAGAATGAGTGATTAATGTGTATAAATTGCTTAAGTTGTATTACATATTAATAATATTAATTTTGAAAATTACACGTCACATCACTCGATTGATTAATGATTCGGGCGTGTAATCTGCTAAGGTAATTGTGCAGTGTATGTTTTATGGAGGTGGCTGTGATCTTCTAGATCTGGCGTTGACATACGTCAGATTGTGGAATTGCCAGGGGCAGCGCTCCCAAGTGGGACAAGCTTTAAGATCCCGACCATTCTCCCGTAATGTGTGGCAGTGAAGTGTATAGGACAAGGAAGGAGAAGGAAAGATTGCGCGTAGCCCGTTTGTTACGGTACTAATCCGGTATTCGCCTGGTATATGAGAAACCAATGTGGAAAAAAACGGCGAATTTTCGGCAGAAAAAATCTAATTTGCTGGATCCTCGGGAAAAAGTGAATAAATCACGGCAAAACGTGTCGTCAGTCCGCCTGTGGTCAACGCTAGCGTCAAAACAGTTCAACCGACTTTCTCCAAAATTGATATTTCTCAATCGATCTTCCTGATTGATTCCCTTTTTGATTGCCCTTTTGATTTTGAAATCGATATTTTAATTTTGGGGTGTGTTTTATTTAAAGCCAGTGGAACACTTTCAAAATAAATGGCTCCATGGTTTTTTATTAAATTTTATTGGTGGATCGTGTAAAGAACGTTTAAGAGAATGGTGCAGGACTAATTTTCGTGTTTTTTTTAAATTTATTTATTTAAGGTCGAATTAACATATCGGTCATTAGCGATCACTATCGCATTTAACGGTATGGTAACTGTGAAGATAACATGATATGGTGATGATAGGGGGTGTAAGGTCGAACACAAATACAACTATGCCCGAGGCGGCACTCGAAACACTGATTCTTCGGTCGGAAATCGCTACGACATTGCTGACATTAGCACTGCTGCCTTAACGATCTCGGACATCCGGGCCTGCTAATTTCATCAAAAATTCTAATTTTTTGAAAATTGTAGAATTTTTTTCTGTGTCTTCCTACAACTAAAATATTAAAGATAGAGTTTTTTCCCTTAATAAAATCTGTTCCTTAAAAATAAATTTTGCAATAATATGTATAATTTTTTGAAATTTTGAGTATTTTTCGCCTACGTTCGCGTAAATATAGTGTAATTTTTAATTTTGTATAAATATTTTTTCTCAAAAACTGCTCCATTGTTTTTGATTAAATTGCATTGGTGGACATTCTGACGAACGTTTAAAAGAATGGCGTAGGTCTCATATTGGTTAAAAAGCTGGATTTTTCAAAAATCGAATTTTTAAAATTTTTCCGACGTCTTCCTTCAATTATAATTATGAAAATATATTTTTTTTCTTAATGAAACGTTCATTAAATTTCATATTTAATGTGTTCATCAAGAACAGAATTTCAATTAAGGTAGATGTGTAAGGTCATGATGAATTTTTTAAAAATATTAGTATTTTGTGTGTAATTTGGCGACAAAAATAGTCGCCCACTCCGAATTTACTGCGTTTCGTGAACGTAAAATGAATGGTGATGTTAAGCAGTTGATTACTACGTATGTTAGAATTTGTATTTTTTTCTTCATAATTCTTCGTTCGTTTCTTACATTTGAGCTTTTGTTCTACTTTTTAAAATTAATCTTTTAGAAATTATTTAAAATCTATTTTAAATTGCGTCCTGCAATTGAGTTAAATGTGAAAAGGGATAGATGATTTCGCTTTGCTTAATAAGACACACACATTACACATTAGATTTTAGTAATTAAGCGTAATGCATCTAAAAAGGAGTAAATTTGATGAAAATAAAAATATTATAATTAATTAATTTCTAACTATTTTCATTTATTTGCTAGTGGTTTCAACAATGCTAATTCGTAGAAAGTGATTCCATACGAATTAGCGGTCGTTGTTTCTTGCAAACCCATTGTTGTTCTCATGCCCCTGGAAAAGGCGAATGAATTGACGTCGCTTTATATATTAATATAATATTATATATCTATATATATAATATATATATATATAATTATAATATATTATATAACAAATAGGTTGGGGCAAAGCGATGGTGGAGGCATGAGAATTATTCTATGAGTCATAAGATTTATATAGTCGTTAACGACTGACTGTATCAATCCGAATAGTTAACTAGTTTGTGTAATAACGAGTGAGTATAAAATTGCTTGAACGGCATTTGTGTAATTTTTTAAGCCTTCCTCTTTGTTCCCAGGTCTTGACCTAAAACAGTAAATTTAGTAGAATATACTAAAATTATGAGATACTATTAGAAAAATTATGTTCGAAATAATGAAAACAAGCTTAATTATCAAAAATAAATTTGAAATGTTATTTAAATGAGATTAGGAAACTGAAATTCCAATTCTAATGCCAAAAAAATAATAAATTTGATCTCAAGCAAAATGTTAAGTAGCATTTTCAAAGTCATACTTTGGGTAATTTTTTTCTTAGGATCGCCGCAAGATGAAACGCGATGAATGAAATGAATCGTATGTAGCTGTCATGTGTGAGGGAAATTGCGCGTGAGTACTGCAATTTTAACTAGGAGAACTTTCTCTTCGTTCTTCTTCCTTCTATAATCCAAGGCGATAAATGAATGTCTTTATATACTTTTTTCTTTTTTTCACGATTACTTGCAACCCACTTTGACCCTCCTCGATCGTCTCGCTTTCAGTTTGTCTCCACATCAACGCCCCTGTGGTACAACAAAGCAACTAATCGTGCAACGCTATCTAGTAGGCAGTGTTCGTTCAACGCGGTAGTTGTATGTAAATATTTTGTGGGTGGCTTTTTAAGTTCTAAAACTAAAAGGAAAATGACGACCCAACCGCATAGTAAAAAGCGGGTCTGTTATTACTATGACAGTGAGTATTACTGTTTGTTATCTTTGATTTTCTGTTATTTTTCGACGTATTGTAAGTCATTATATGTTGGGTTCGGATTTCCGCTGGAAACTTCGTACGTTTCCAGCACTGAAACACAAATTTATTTAATACTGATATTTTGAATGTCCAAATTTTTTTCAGAAATGTAAGAAATATGTTTTATTGCTGTATCAGACTAGTTGTGATAGTAAAGTTATGTCATTTGCACATTGAAATTATACTTTAGTTGAAGATGCACCAAAGATTCTCATCTCAATGGGGAATCGGTTGACCGTAGTTTTGTATTGCAATTGAAAACTGTAAATTGAAATATTATTGAGTCCAAAGTGCCTTTTGTGGTCTTTAGTTGATATTATTTGCGACCCTTGGTGCTGGGGTAGCGTACATGCATTAAGATATGTAAAGTTGAAGAGTGAACAAGCGAATTTGCGAGTTCCCGCTGTTGCCCGAAGGGTACGGTTGCCAGAGTGTGACACGAGACAAATGGGTTATGAACCGAAAACTGAGATAATACCTTCAATTTTGTTGTAAAATGTCACATTTCAGATCAATATTGGTTCTTTGGAGTTTTTTTACAATCATTTAATTTTTTCCCCATGTGCGTTCTTGGTAATTATGACAGTGAAAAGACAACAATAGTAAATGTTGAATAAAATATTACCTAAAAATATTTCTGCAATTTTCTTTCATGAATCTCGAATTGACAGAAGTCTTATCTATAAATTGACTGCGTATTTTAACTAATATGCAGAATTTTAAAAATATTTATTGCTTTTATGCATCTATTTGCCACTGGTTAAAAGTGTCATTTCCTTTGTCAAGGTGATATTGGTAACTATTACTATGGGCAAGGCCATCCAATGAAACCACATCGTATACGCATGACACACAACCTACTTCTTAATTATGGTCTTTATCGCAAAATGGAAATCTATGTAAGTTACAAAAATATTGTTGTATTGATTAACTTATAATTGGGTATTGCATTTTAATATTCCTGGCTTTGTGCTTTAGCGGCCCCATAAAGCAACTGCTGATGAAATGACAAAATTTCATAGTGATGATTATGTTCGGTTTCTGCGGAGTATAAGGCCAGACAATATGTCAGAATACAATAAGCAAATGCAGCGTTGTAAGTATCTAGTCTACAGAAGTTTGTTGTATCCTCATAGAGATGTTTTTGTGCATTATTTTCTTATTCTCTGTATAATAAATATTATTCTTTTTTAGTTAATGTTGGAGAGGATTGTCCAGTTTTTGATGGTTTATATGAATTTTGCCAGTTATCTTCAGGAGGCTCTGTGGCAGCTGCTGTAAAATTGAACAAACAGGCCTCGGAAATATGTATAAATTGGGGAGGTGGCCTTCATCATGCTAAGAAATCAGAAGCATCTGGGTTTTGCTATGTGAATGATATAGTTTTGGGGATTTTAGAACTTTTAAAGTACCATCAGAGAGTATTATATATAGACATTGATGTCCACCATGGTGATGGGGTGGAAGAAGCGTTTTATACTACAGACAGAGTAATGACTGTTTCATTCCATAAGTACGGCGAGTATTTTCCGGGCACTGGGGATCTGCGGGTGAGTTGGGTTCTTGATAGTAAATTATTTTTTATTTGATGACTCATTAACAGGAATGCAAAAATGTACTCATTCACTCATTTATGAACAGGATATAGGTGCTGGCAAAGGCAAATATTATGCTGTAAATATCCCCCTTAGAGATGGTATGGATGATGAAAGTTATGAGTCCATTTTTGTACCTATTATCTCAAAAGTTATGGAAACATTTCAGCCAAGTGCTGTTGTTCTTCAGTGTGGAGCTGATTCCTTGACTGGAGATAGGTTGGGATGTTTTAATCTTACAGTTCGAGGTAAAATCTGTTACTTAATTGAGCTAGATATTTATAGATACTTGTGTGTATGTATGTGACAAATAAGTGTCACATGTATGACATATTTGCTATAAATATGCTGTATGTTTCTTTTAGGACATGGCAAATGTGTAGAATTTGTTAAAAAATATGGTCTCCCATTTTTGATGGTTGGAGGAGGAGGGTATACAATTCGAAATGTGTCACGATGCTGGACTTACGAGACATCTGTAGCTCTTGGCACTGAAATTGCTAATGAATTGCCTTACAATGATTATTTTGAGTATTTTGGCCCAGATTTTAAATTACATATCAGTCCGTCAAATATGGCAAATCAGAACACTCCAGAATATTTGGAAAAAATTAAGTGAGAATTAATTTTCAATTCATATTTTAATGTTACTAATTTTGGTTTATGTATAATGTTTTGCTAATGTTTGATTTTTTCCTTATTCAGGACAAGATTATTTGAAAATTTAAGAATGCTACCCCATGCTCCAGGTGTTCAGGTTCAAGGTAATTGATTAATGGCAAGCTTTATTTCCTTTCTTAGTTTCTGAGAGGTGGAGTATATTCTTACCAATATTGTTTGTTAAAAGCTATTCCGGAGGATGCTGTCAATGATTCTGAAGATGAAGAGGAGAAGGCAAATCCTGATGAACGATTAAACCAGGCATCCCTGGATAAGAGAATAGCACCAGAAAATGAATACAGTGACTCCGAAGAAGAAGGTGAAGGTGGAAGGCGGGATCAAAGGTATTGTACATGTTACTGCTTCCTTAGCATTATCCTCTTGTATTACTGGAAAGAAACTTTTTGTACCAATTGTACAAGTTTTATGAAATTCTTTTGATCAATTATGTCCTCTCATGGTGGCATATTGTATAATGAGCCATAATATACAGCATGGGATATTTTACTCTTACAAGGAAAATATATTTGAGGCCTTGTAAGAATTTTATATGTAGTTCTTTTTTCCGGGTGCATCAATTTGTGGTAAATATTGTAATTAAGTTTTCAAAAAACAATAGGGTTTTAAAGAAAGTATGTATTTGTAGGTCATTTAAGGGCAGGAAACGACCTCGTTTAGACAAACTTGAACCAAAGACTGAAAAACAAGATGGAGATGAGAAAGGCAAAACGGAAGAAGTTACTAAAATGGATACCAAAGGTGAGTGGTTTGAGTGCAAATTAGTTTTCTGTGACTTTTAAAGTCTAAGTTTTTGTTAGTATTTTTTATTAAAGTTCTGCATTGAAAAGTGAAAAAATGATGTCTTTCTACATAAGTATCAAATTTAAACTGCTTTATTTGCAATTTAGAAAACACCCAAATCCACTTTTTATTAAATATAAATGGTTGGTAATTATCTTGATGGTAATTTAGGAGGGCAACTTAAAAGAGACAATGTTTTTATTAAATACAGTGTACAGATGGCCTGTTGAACAAAGTGACACAGATTAGTTCGGATAAATGCAACAACTGGTGACCCTGATTTCCTAGAGAAGGAAGCTGCAAATTTGCTGCAGTAAAATGTGTTGGAATTTCACAAGTAATATTTATCAAAATTATAAAAACATTGTGAAATAAATTTATGTTTAAATCAAATTCCATTGATGTTATTGTACAGATTCAAGCAGTGTTGATATTACAGTAAGGTTCTAACCATTTTAAACAATGAAGCAGCGAAATGAACCGATTTTGATTGAAAACATTTTTTTGGATTTATTTCCAATTCACAATGAAAATCTGGATTTTTAAAATTTATTTTTTTAACAAATATCTGCTGTACATATTTAGAAATAAAAATGAATAACATTTTTTAACAAATGTTATCTCCATAAAATTTTTGACTTCCACCTTCATATGTTTTGACAAATTTTGGTTCTAAATTCATATTTTAAAAAAACATTAAAAAACAAAATTTTTAAATGTAGTTTTCAAGGATTTGGATTACAACTAGCTATTTGTTTTCTAGTGTCTCATCAAAATTATCTACTGTGTAGTTCTGTTAAATTGGAGCGTTTCTTCCCTAGCATAACCTTGCAAGCGCAAGCTTGCTATGAGTGTGTACAGTACCAATATACTAGACACTCTACCTCCTTTTTGTAAAAACGTGAATGTTTTTACTCGCAGTAGGAAAAAGGAAAAATAGAAATAACTTTGAGGCTTTTGGTACAAATAATATCTGACCTTTTGGTTGAAATGAAGATGATTGGCATTTATAAAAGAGACAGATCTCGAGGATAAGGTTCACCTGTCACTTTCTCAAGCACTCATACGTATTTTGTCAATTGTCAGCTGAAGTGCCAACCGACTCGAATGAAACTGAGTCAAGCTGTAACACCAACAAAATATACAAAAAGTCATCAAATTGTCAGCTAGGTTTTTGTAACTTCAGTCTTCTAGCACTGTCTGCCTACATCACACATCACAGACAAGTTTGTCATGTCACAATCAATGTACATTGTTCTACTCTTATATACGCTTTACATTACAAAGATTGGGTTGATCTTCTTCCTTAAACCTTCCTAATAATATAAATGGTTTTGTGTATTCTTTTCTATAAAGATCATACCAAATGTATTTGAAATCAGTTGTAGGTGAAAAAATTGAAATCTAGTAAGACAGAAAATAAAGTGACAACTACTTTCTTTTTCATTTTTGTCACTAATTTTATTTTTGTAATGGCCATTCCAATTTTATAGAGAAAACAGTTCCACTAGTGTTTTATGAAAATCATATCCATGTGCAATTCAACAAATATTACCAGAATGGTGGGAACTAACTTCCCGCCCTACTTGTAACACAGCTTACACTTTCTGCTGTAATGCCACAGCATAATTTTCAGTTAATACTGGTGTGTCTCTTTACAAAAAGGGAATCTGTTCTTTGTTGGCTTTTTTTCTTTCAAATTCTGGAGAATTTTTAATTGTACAGCTGTCATAAAATGAACATCTTCAATTTCTGTCCATTGGCAGATAATTATTTTTGCATTCTGTGTGCTACGTATGAAAAATGTACATAAATTTAATGTCAATAAGTTTTTTATTGTTTAATTAAAATTTCAATAAACAACAAAAAGGACTTCCTGGATAAACTTAACATAAATGGAAAAACATATGAACAAGCTTTAAGCCTGAATTTCTTTAAAAAATTACGAATATGCACAGAAAAATAATACATTTTGTAAATGAGGTTTCCTTAAAATATTTACGTTTGAGAGACCTATAAAATAAACACCAGACATGCATTTGTATGGAAATTCTATATTTAGTTACCACATTTCTTTTTCTTGTGAAATGTCAGATACCATAATTGACATCTAAAGCACCACTTCTCTTGTCACAAATTTATTAATAACTTTTCTTTAACTCTTCTTTTAACTAAATCCCATTATTTTATATCCCTACATCTTTCTTAATGTTAATGTTGTGCATAAAATGCAAATCTGGCTAACTTCTGAATAATTATTCACGTTATCTAAGGTGAGTGGACAAAGTCCAAAGCAGGAATAACTTTCAGGCATACTTCGGACTTCAGCCATTCTACATTACCCAACATAAAGACGCTAGTAGCAAACACTCTTTTAATAGTTGCAGTTCAACCGAAATCCAACACTGAGTTGATCGAGTTCAAGTGCAGGATTGCCATGAGTCTGCCTTTCATTACATTAATATGTTACAAAGATTCTCACATGGGGTGTGCAGATCCCATACAAGTCATTTCACGTTTCTGATTTGACATGGAGTGTTTGTGAGTACTTGAAGGGGGTGAATGTGGAGATTAGGAGAGCTTTTTAGTCCTCCTATGATGACATTATAAAGCTATAACATGCAAACTACTACACTTATGTGAATGCAATAACGAAAAAGCATTTCTTACAGCTTCATTGAATGCTAAAGATTATCAATTTCATATTATGGACATTTTATTTTTCTTGTCTCTCATGTTTAGCACTCACGTGTCGCATTATTAGTTACAGAATTGAAGGCAATCCAATTCTTGGTTTTTAACTTTCACATACTACAAAATGAAATAATGATACAAACATATACAAATTTTCAAAAGTTAGAGTTTGAATATTTGGAAGTAGGCATCTCCAAATATGTCCCCTAATAGAAACATTGAAATATGACTTCAAGAATATTATAGAAGGCAGAAACCTAATGCAAATTTTCGTTAAAAATTTGGAGCCATTTTTGAAAAAAAAATCTTGCTCATTTCTGAATATGCGGGATTTAGATCTTGTTTTCAGAGACATTTTTGAATTTTCAAGAAGCTTCTTTTAAAATAATGTCAATATCTCTTGCTCTCAAATACAGTAATGTATAGAAAAACACCTGTTAAGTTAATAATGATCATAAGAGATATTAAAAAAATACATGTGTTTAATTTGTGAAATATCAAAAGAATACATCTAAATAACTATTAGGACATGTTATTCAGTGCATTTAGCACTATCTGTACAATGACCAAATTTGGGGCCATATTTGAGAAAATCTTAGTTTTTAACATTGCTCATAATTCATTAAAAATTACACGAAAACGAGTAATAATTAACCAATTGTGGAGAACAACTTAAGATAAATATCCAACTCCAAAAATATGATCTTGAGCTGTCCATGTCAGTAAAATTGAAGTCTGGCAAACCTCTTTCAACAAAAACTAGGAAAATTCGTAATTATGAAACTTACAAATGAAATCCAGGTTTAAGAATTATACAATAGATCAGTTTTATAAAGGTAAATCGCATTCTATTACAAGTCAAAAACAAAAAAATTGTAGCTTTTCTTCTCTGCCATCTAAATTTATATGAAGTCATATGAACATAATTTTCTGTGCGTAAGAGCAACTTTAGAAATTACATTAAAGAAAATTACAAATGAAAATTTGAAAAATTACGTGATTATTTGTTGTATTAGGAATTACATGTATCATTTATATTTCATGATGGAAACATAACCTTGTGAAGTAAAGAAAAGATGCCCTTCAGTCTGCATGTTTTCATATTTTAAGCATATTTTCATGATTTTTAATGCTCATAAATCCGCAGCTTAGCCATGACGTCAACTTTAAATTGATATAACTATTGTTGTTGTAGTTAATGTTGTAATGTAAATTAATTTTGTTTTCCAAGTTATAAAATTAAAGGTTACATTAACTTTTTTAAAAATTTCATTCATTATTATTATTATTATTATTATTATTATTATTATTATTATTATTATTATTGTCATCATCATTTAATATTATAATCATGTATTTTATTAGTCATGCTTCACTTTAAGGAAATGTGTTGATAATACTTTATTTTGTGTTTCTACTACTTTTTTAAATTCAATATTGTGAACTTGTGACTTTATTTGAATATTTTGTTTCATTGTGTATTTCAGCCGAAATTGAGAAGGATGACAAGTCTGGGATTGCAGAAGACCTCAAGAAAGAATCAAATTTGAATCCATGATAACAACATTCATTTGCCATACATTGATTTCCAGGAAGGATCAAGAGGATGGGTCTGTACAGAGATCTGTACATTTTTTATTATTGCATTTTTAAGATAAAGTCTGTCCATCAATGTCATTCATGAGTAAGAATTTATTTGACACGTCATAATTTCATTGTTGTGCTGACATTTTACAGTGTCATTTATAAATTGTCTCATACGTTCCTCATTTCTTGTGGCTGTCCACTGTCTCTTTGTTGCTAGTATTTGTTTCATCCTGTGCATCATGGTTTGAGAGAGGATTTCATACAAAGAATAATGTAAAGAGAGATCATTTCACATTTCTGATTTGACATGGAGTGTTTGTGAATACTTCCCAGTACAAAGATGTAGGTTCATAAATAATTGATTTTGTAGTAGATTTTTCTTAATAGATGTGTATATAAGTAAAGGGGGGTGAATGTGGAGATTAGGAGAGCTTTTTAGTCCTCCTATGATGAATAGATGGGATGGGAGATCACTTTTAAGTTACTGTGTACTTCCTTGAGTAGATTTATTAGTTTGTAGAAGTGCAACATAGTACATTAATCTTTGTCATAATTATTTATATTGGTCTAAAATTAAATGGAAATAAAATTGAAACATTTTGTGATTACTGTATCAATTCATTTCACCCTAATATCCTCAGAAACTTACTTTGAGCACATTGAAACAAGCGCATAACATTATTTAGAATAAATCATGTTTGTGTAAAATGTGTTTTGACACAAATATATTTTTAGAACAAAATAAATTTTTCAAAAATTATTTGACTACTAGTTGATTAATTTGATGAGTTGCTGTGCAGTAAAATACATGAGACTTAAAATTACTATCATTTTTTCAATTGATTAACTGTCACTCTATTGCAAGTTTAGCTGCTATCTTTAGATAACGCCTTCAGTTATTACTAAAGACCAGATTTTTGTGCAGTAAAAACACCAAAACGAGCAAAAACATGCAATAAAAAAATCAGAACTTTTGAAAATGCTTTTATGAAGCCTGAAAACTACTTAATCCACTTGTCAACTTCTTTTACATTTTGGGTGTGAACTTTAAGGTGAATTAAATATTTGATTTTTATAGTTTTTATATGCCTTAGATATGACAAATTAAGTTGGTATGTATTGTGTAAACCAATAATATTTGACATTTTAAATATTATTCACATAAAATTACATTATGACAAAAATTTAAAAAGTAAATACAAAAACCTTAAGAAACCAAATATAATTAAGTTATACAAAAATTGTTCTTTTTTTCATTATAATTTACAATTATGTATATTTCCAAATTGTTTTGTGATAAATTACTATATTTTCTTTCACCTAATACATGTTACAGACAGGAAAAACATCGACCCACATTTACACTTGACTGTGTGTGACATACGTGTCCACGCATCTAAAAGCCTTCAAAACCAGGTTCGTTCTCTCTCATATGTCGCAGGGCGTCTTCTGTCCCGAGAAATTAAACTAATTTGAAAAGCTGAGTAGCTCGCCGCTAAGCTTCGCGCCTGGACGTAAGGTCCGATGTGACTTGTGCATACAGTCTCGTGTTGTTGATTTCAGCGAAGAGTGACAAAGTTGATATATGATCCGATTGGAGAAAAAGGCCCCAAACACAGCGTTCGCTGAGCGTTATGATACAAGTGCCAGGCAACGAGTACCGCGCACTGCGTATTCTCACTCCCATTTGCAATCGTTCAGGAATTTTAATTAGACCATAGGCATTATGCAAACAATAGGCAGACGCTTAGTTCACAGGGCAACAAAATTATGGTATAGTACAGAATCAATACGTTTTAAACAGCACTTGGATTTCGCAATCACCCGAAAGGGTTATGTCAAAACCTTTGTTTTTCTTAAATGAAACCTTTAAAAAAAGAAATTATAACAAGTTGATAATATACGAATCATATTTCATGCAATAGAACTATAAATCTAGCAAATTTCTTCAGTAAAAGCATTATTCTAAAGGCACAATTTCGTGCAAAATAAAACATGTACTAAAATAACGTCCGTTTCATGATTTAAATTTGTGCAAGGTTTCGAAAATTTTCAAGTTAGCAACCAAAAGATGCAGTAACATGAGAATCCGGTCTTTAGTTATTACTTGGGAAAGAAAGAAAAAACAACAACTTTCATGTTAAATATAATAGTATGTAAAAAAAAAGTCATTTAAATAAAATACACATCCAATTAGAGGAAAGCGTTTATCATAAGTGTGACAGGAGTGAAAACTAGTATCTATTATATACATGGTGGAAAGACATCATTCCACCATGGCTTGTATACACTTCGATTAAAACCATAACCTTTATTCTACGTTTTGGTCAAAATGACCTGGAGCAGTAGTGGGAGGGCTTGGGGTATTCAGTAGCTGTTCAGCCAGTCACCGTGCAGAAGTGGAAGCAGCAGAACCTTTGTCAGAGGTGTGACCTTATACAAATTTGTATTTGGAAGAACATTTAATGTTCTTCGTTTCTCTCAATCCATTGTTGGCTATTTAAATATTATTTGCCAACAATGTTTCGTTTAGGATACTTGTGTAAAATTCACAAGTAATAGTACAAAGTATCAAATAACAATGAAAAAGATCTGAGATCCCTAATTGGGGGTCATGGCAGTAAAATTTGTCTTTGGTTGGCGGGGGTCTTACTGAATAATGACTTGGTAATCTTGAACTGCGTTGATGGTTCCATGGTTTTGACGTCGAATAACTCAGTTTTATAGGTAACTTCTTTCTTGATGTACCCTCCCGATGACTTTGACTTACAAATTAATAGTTAACGAAGGAAAAACTGTTTTCTGTATTTTTGTATTTCAACGGCAAACACATGCTGCATTGAAAATTAACAATATGCAATTAGCTGGTGTTAAGGTAACAAAATTTCTGGTTCTCTCAATTCACAAACCCACAAAAATGTGCATTCCTGCCTGAGATATGGTATTAATTTTAAATAATATAATATAATACTCTGGGGATGCTCATCTTGTGGTACCCACACCATTAGATTGTAGAAAATGAATATTTCAATAATTAAACAAATTCTAGCCATGTGTTTCCTGCAAGTCTCTCTTCATTGATCTTGGAATCTTACTATTGTTGTGTCTACTTATTTACGAAACTAGTTTTCATCGAAACTAATTTACAGCTAAGGGAACGTATTTTCATGCAATACTGATAATTATAAATACTATACACGCCATAGAAACCACATTCATAAGGTGTAGGTATTAACAGCTCGCTACAGGAAATCCATATTTAATACTTTAACACATTACTTTACAATGCATTGCCAGATGGTATTAAACAATTAAAATCGGAACACAAATTTAAATTAAAAGTAAAATATTTTCTATTGCATAACTGTTTCTATTCAATTAGAGACTACACTGATCATCAAAAAGATGTTTTAAATTTTATTTTAACAGAGGTATATATTGCATTCATTTACATTTGTATTGTATAATATTTGAAAATGATTTAATATGCCTGTAACAAGTAATGTAATTCAGCTTCTGGACCAATGATTCCCATCTCGATCAGGGTTTTGTCCAGTTTCTCTGATCCATTGAGCAAATGCTGAGATGGCCCCTTGTTTTACTTCTGGATGTAAATGTAGCTTCACTATTGAGCTCCTTTTGCTTGTAGTGGTAGGAAAAGAGCCAGGGGTATGTTTTGTTGACAATGCTAAACAATCAAATCTACCATTCGTTTACCAATGCAAATATGTTTTCTGTAACTCGGGAGTGAAAATGTCTATTTTTACGTTCCCGTACACTGACGTATATACGAAGTAATATACGTATTGTGAGGAAAGTTACGTTATGCTGCGGCGAATTTTCGACAGAAAAAATTCATTGCCTGTCCCTGGTAACTTAAGAAAAAGGCCCTTAAGAGAAAAAAATCTCTGAACCGTAGTATAGCCAGAAACCATGTTTTGTTGGTTTTGATATCGATTGACGACAAAACGCCCGCCGGTCCGTAAGCAAATTGTGCGCGGAACTGCGGCTCTGGCAAGAGGAAACGGAAGACTAAGTTGGCTTTTTTGCTTTCCCTTATATACGGAGTAATAATAGGTAAAGTTATGTAAAGCTACAGAAAATCGATTTAAAGATTTCAACGGAAATATAAGTTTTGGGGTCCCCTGATACCGAAAAAGTGTTGTTTATTTAAACGTCCGTCTGTGTGGCCTGTGTGAACTAGGGCTTAAACCATGCGTAGGATGTTTTCGAAATTGAAAAAAACCCTGCCCATTTGGCCTGAGTCGATATCTGCGATTTTGAAAATCACTCATTAGTTTTTGGGGGTACTTAAAATAAAGCCCCTCGGACATTTCGAAAATTTTCTCAAAAATGGCCCCTTTTTTTTTTTTTTTTTTTTTTCCTTTTTAAGAATGGAGTATAATATAGTCATATTCGTAGGCTTCCGCAGCCGAAGTCATTGGATCCTTGGCTGTCCGTCAGTCGATCGAGCTGACGATTTGGCCATCTTCAGAGTGTTGCGGCCTTCTTCAGAGCTATACTGCAGCAGTAAGCCACTAAAAATTTGCGGGCTCAAAACTATGTGTACAAGCAAAGTCTAAATATTAAGTCGCTCATCAAATTAACTGCTCACTTCTGGCACCAGGATTATCAAATTGATATGTGGTAATTTTTCATCAACAAATGACCCTAAATATTGATTAAAACTTGGGAAGCAAAATGTATTCGAAAAATAACAAAATGGTACAAAAACGTTAACTTTTTAGTTTTTAATCGGAATCAGTAATGACAGCAATTTTTCTCTACTTATGTCGCCGTGACCGTGAAAATTTCAATTTCACGGTGTTATTTTGCGTTTGAAAACAACGGAGGGTGATGGCGCAATTGTGGCTTTAGAGAAACTTCTGTCAAGTCTTTTGGTCTGACAACTCCCGGGGGGAAAAAACCAAAGGCCACGAATATGAGTGGAAGGAATAAAATCTAGTGACAAAAAAAAAACACATTTGCAAGACACGCAAATTCATTGCGCAGAAGTTTCAGAGTTCACTTTTGTGAGAAAATAAATTGAAATTCATTATTAAGATTCAGTTTTGGGCCATCTTTGTAATAATAACAATTGTGATGTGTGTATCTGCTAAAAGTCTTTTTTGAATATTATTCATATTACACTAGTATGTTATTTTTCAGACATCTGATAATTTTAAATTTCTTATTGAAGAACTTTTATAATTCACAAATTATTTTAATCTGTCTTAAAGTTGAAATCAATCGCCATTATTAAGTATTTTCAAAATTCAATTCTCAAAATATTCTATCTCATATTAATGGCTCCAAATGCATGGAATTGTAATTCTCAATTTGTTTGAAAACTCTTGGTTTTGTATTAAAGCATTAAAGGATTTTAATTAATGAAAACTGTATGAAATATATATTTCTGTAAAAATGTTTAAAGCTTTATTAAAAATTCATTATCAAAATTAATGTGGATAATATTGCTATCTTCTTTACGGAAAGGTTAAAAAGGACAAAGGAAATAAGATATTATATAGGGTCCAGTTATGCATAATAAGGTATTTTATCTTCCCCCTTGTGCAGAGACTGTATATGAGTGAACGATAAATGCAACATGTTTGGAAGCTTATTTAGGAAGATAACTTTCTGCTAACACTGATACAGATTATGCTGTAGACAACATTAAGCAACATATTATTGTTTTTATTTTTCAAATACCAAATGTTGAATAACATATGGAATATTGGTGTTATTTATTTTGTTTAGGTATTGGAAGATCACAACACTTTAAAAATAGCACTTTGCATTCACTGTGGACATCACTTTACACATACATGCTCAGCATTTAAATATATACAACACTTAACAACACAGAAGTTAGAACAGGATTAAAAAAAGAAGTTCTGTAGACAGTTAATAGTGTCAACACTTGGTGCTGAAGAAGTGTTCACATTACATTTTATACAAACAAACACTGACTAGGACATGTATAAAATGAGTATTCACTTGTATAAACAGTCTTTGACACTATAGTCATGAGTACTTGAAATGGTCTACTTGGCTGTACACCCTGATCTATTATTAAACCGTTTCAATGTCACATTACATTTTTAAGTAATAGATCCAATATCTATTTCTATGAACCATTTCTACTTAAAATAACTTCAATACTAATCTTTGTCACTTGCTATCAATTCCTTCTTTCCACAAAATTCTCTTTGCACTACAAACGTTCACAGCAAAATTATAATACTAGTTGATCTTGCCGGAATTATTTTCACTAATTCAACTCGTTGTTTGTTCCCTATAATACTTATGATATGCTGTTAATGGATATCAATCCAAAGACAAAACAGACTCCATACTCGCTCGAGGCACATTTTTAGAATCAAAATGTGGGCCTCCCAGATAACTGATGGGATTTCCATATGTTCTTTGCTCTTCGTTGAGAAACACAGGGGACAAACTAGCACCTGGGGTGTGAGCTGTAGGTTTAACAGCATTAGATTTGAGGTGTGTTGTTATTGAATCTGGAATGACATGTAGACATTCAATATCAGTTATCATGCAGAAAACTTACTATATCATCATTAAAAAGAACAAAAGTATTAAATTTGTTATCTTGAGTGCAGGGAAAAGCATGTATAAAGATATATACAATTTCAAAAGTTGTAAAAGATCAAGTATCGAAAATCATTATATATGTGCAAATATTAAATATGCATCATGTGTTGCTTATTCATTCCATCATTGTGCTCTCCTTACTTGTTCCAATTCCATGTTTTTACTGTAGAAAAAGATAATGGCATATGTTTAAAAATAACTTCTCAGAGAGCCACAAAATATCTAACCTCTTTTTGGCGTCTCATCTTCAGGAATGTGTGCCAATGGGAATTGACCCAATTTTGACACAGGTCCTTGTTGATTTTGAGCATGTTCCTGATGAAAACAATTGACACGTTATGATGCATGGTTTTAAGTTAGCATAACATAATACACACACACACATTAGAGACTACACTAAGAAAGCATGTTGCACATACAAATTTGCACATATTGCCCACAAAAGAAAACAACATGCAATTAAAGCAAAGAAAATATACAAGATATTTGTAAAGATTTTCAGCAAAAATGACTAGAGAAACAAATATAAACATTATTAAATTCCAACTACACAAGCCACACTTAAAAAAGCAGGTAAAATAGAAATTAGAGGGTTGCAAAGTTTAAGATTTCGTTCATGTTAAATATGAAAACCATAAAATTAAATTTAAATATTTGTATGATATACAACGTAAATTCCACCTATTCTCATCTTGTATTAATTTCAGAAAAAGGCAATGAAATTTGAAAGAAACTCGTGCAAGTACTTCCATACTCAGTGTCAAAGTTGATTGCATGCCTAAAAAAAAACAAAAAAAAACAAAAAAAAAAAAACAATAAAACTTTCTGAAGGTCAAGTATTTTGATTTTCACCTTGATTCACGGAAGTACTTTTTCACATTCATGATGATTATTGTCATCAGGCATAAGGAGTTGTAGTAAACTCTATACTTCCTAGTTCATCAATACTATACGGCAGAGCATGATTGTTCTTTTGATGATATACCTGAAAATTTTTTATAGTAATATTCAGAAGGTAATCAGCACATTATGAGTTGAAAAAATGTGTGTTTTTTGCTAAATACCTAAAAACTATTTTAGGGGGTGGATTTCACTTAGAATTGCAAGAACTGTTTTACCAGTGTTTTTTGCCATTTGATAATTAAATTGGTTCAAAGATCATAAATTCTTTAACTTAAATGTATACTTATGTTGAGTATATTAATGCACTTTTTTATGCAAAAGTTTTTTTTAAAAATATATACTTATGTTGAACGTAAGTATTTAGGCATTATTATTATATTTAATAAAAATTGCTTGTAACAAAATATTTTCCTAACTACATTGACATTTTTTGATTTTTTAAATACATTTTTGAAAAATTGATGTTTTAGTTCAAAACGTTATTTTTTAAGCAGAGCAGATACACTATTTGAAGTATGGTAAATTCTATTCAGGAGCTCACTATGTTAACCTTTACTACTCATAAATTGTTGCAATTCTTTAAATATGATTGTACAGCTTTCAAATTTGTCAAACGCTATTATACTGTCATTTAAGGCCAACATTTTATAATTTTCTAGTAAGTTGAAGAATTAATCAAAGTACTTTTGAAAGTAAATGAGTTTTATAAAAATAAATATCTTAATTATATTATAGATATGCATCAAGTTATCCTTTGAAAAAATATAATTTGTTTTAATTACAACAGATTTTAATTAAACACTTAAAAAATGTCTGATACTAGAATTTCAATATCATAATAAATTTCAAAAAACATTATCTTTTTGACATATAACAAAACAGCTCACTTTATTTTCATTTATCTGAGGCTACAAAATGTCAATTAATATTAATTATGTCAAAACATTACAGGTTATGTTCATGGACTAAAAAATCACAAATTAGGGATTATTTCTGAATAATCATTATGTTTTTTAACATTTAATTGAAAATCTTAAGGACATGTCGTACACTTTAAATGTTTATTTAAAACTACATTTGTTTAAATCATTTCTGTGCAATATATATAGTATTCTCTGTTGTAATTAACTATTTTAAGATATATAAAGGTGTTAAATCATAATTCCAGCATCTTGAACATATAATTCTACATTGTTTGGATAAACTAATCAACTCTAATCTAAAAATGCATATCAACTCTTCCTATTTATATTTATTTATTAATGCATTTGCAAAAGGCTTACAATTTTTTGTTAATTACATTCAAAACAGAGTCAAATTTTGTACTGTAATCAGGTTGTCCGATATTGCCTTTCTGCTGAGGTAATAAACCAATGTGCAAGCCCAAAATGCATAACATTAACAAATTATAAAATTTTTCAGTTTAAAGCTTCAGTATGAGAAGCAGATAAATATTGAATTGTTAGCATCAAATATGCATCATCAATATATTTTTTAGAAATGTTTACTTTCAGATGATTTTCCCCCGGGAAAAAAATCAACTTTCGGCCTTTACATGTGAAAAATAAATTCCCTGTAAATCAGTTTCTATCAAACTTGTAAGTACTGTACAAAACTTTTGAAGAAAAACAATAATTTATGAGTAGTCTGAACTAGGGATTCTTGTTATTTGACTAATTGTTTGAATGGATAAGTAGTAATATGTTAGTGAATCGTTTATAAGATTATTTACTCTAAGTATAGCACTCACCAACTAATAATTTCACTACACATAATGACATGCGAAACTTTTACTAAATTAATCACTTAAAGAGGATGTTAGTAAATAATGGTATTTACCATTAATTTTGAGTTGTATATTGAAATGCTTATAACTAAGTACCTATTACCAATGTGAACAAACAGTGGAGATGTTACATCAGTGAACACAACTTGTTAATTTTAATAATAAAAAAAAAAAATCTATAAATTATTGTTCCAGGAGGTTCTTAAAAAAAGTCTGTGGAAATATGGAATGAAATAATTGCAGAAAATGAAGATGAGGAATGTAGACACATGTACATAAAGCAATTATAATCATTGTTATTGTAAATAAATATGCAAGGCCATTAAAATATATTTACAACAATTTTTTTATTATTATTAAAAGAATAGCTCAGGACTTTTTATTGAAAGAGAATGTCTCTTGAAAGAAAATGTATTATCACAATAAAGTAAGTACTTATTTAATGACTAGGAAGAAATCAGCTGTAAATCTAGGGTAAACATTAACAATTATCTACAAGACAGACAGCATTTCACCTTTTACTATTCTTTTTGTTTGAAATTCTTCATCCACAGAGAGTTTACAAATTGTTGTTTCCAAAACAGCAGATTTGTTGAAAAATAAAGTACACTGCACTAGTGTACAGAACAGTACTGTACACTAGAACGCATTTGTTATATTGCAGTTTCAAAATCTAAGTGATTGCTGGTTCATCCAAAATTAAAAGAGTTTAAATACATGGAAGTACACATTATTCATGAATAGATAAAATTACAATTAAGGTTATCCTATGAGGGTTAGAGCTTTTTAAATTAAGAGAGTGATGAATAGGTTAGTAAGTGAAATAATAGTGATTTGTGATAATAATGAAGATTTGGAAGAAAACTATGCAGTGGAACCTTATTAATAGGTACTTCCAAGAAAACCTTCTTAGTAGATACTTCTTTTTGTTCACCACAAAGTTCACTAGAGTTTGAACTCTCATTCCCAAAGGACGATGGTGAGTGATCTGATCAGGACTGATCACCACACCATGTGTCTCCCAAATCCAAAGGTATATTGGCTGGCTGGATGGAAAAGGTATTTCTATTAAGATTATTCACTGACCAAATAATTAGAAGAAAATCATGTAAGCAATGAAAAATTATTATTTCAAAACCATATCATCATATTAAATTGTCAGTGATTATAATTATCATTACGTTGAAAAAGTTTTTATTCCAAGTGGTTTTAGTGTTAGGAACAACAACTTGTGAACTTCTCTTGTATTACTACCTATCCTATAAAATTACTAGATTGTATTCCTGTTTCAAAGAAATAAAAAGTAGTTTAAATATTACATTTTTAAATTTGAAACATGAAATTGTCATATAATAGTGAGACTAGTTTGAATTAGGTCTAACTAAGAATGCACCTTTTTTTGTTTTCTCACAAGCTACATATGAAACACTATTTACACAAGCTACATTAGAAATTTAATACTGTTGTGCTAAATATTGCTTTTATAAGACTATTAGGTTAATAAATAACCCAATGAATATGAAATGGCAGTGAACTTAACATGAGAAACGCCAAGCTACTAGATTTCCTCTTCCTGAGAATAACTTCCCTGCAGTCTTCTCATAGCAAATCAAATTACACAAAGCTCAACATAGCAACTGTACATGTTACAGATTGCTGTCCAAATTGTCTTCGGAACCAAACATTGTGTTCAAAGTTACTTCACTAATTGAACCCAAAGGAGCCAAGTTTCCTGCCTGTGTACTTACTGGTTTCTTTGGTACATCATTTTCTTCTTCTTTGCTATTGGGCAAATCTTCCAGAGACTGTAAATGAAGCATACACGTCTTTATAAAAACATTCAAAATTCATTATTTCTTAATTTTTAATGTTGCAGCGTGTGGCATAAGAAATCAATTGAGAGAGGAAAAAAAAAAGAGAGAGAGAAAAAGATCATTAAACTATCAGAAGTGTTTATCTTTGTAAAATTTAGGACTGAAAAAAAATTTGTTTAAGTATTTACAAAGTAAAGTGAATAAGCCCATGAACAGCTTCTTAGCTTTTGGAGAGGTGGTCCCAGATTCGATTTTCAGGAGAGGTAAAAATGTATCTGCAACTTTCTAATACAAATCATCTTTGTTTCTATTGCCGTGTGATGAAAGAAAGCTCAGGCATGCCAAATATGCTAGGTATGATGATAGGAATATGTAATGCTCATCACCTGTCTCTCTTATCTCCAGGTATGGATATTAAATAAAAACAGGGCTCAGGCCTGGTAATGCCGCTAGCAGGCAAAAATAAGATTAATCTGACCCCAAACGCCAAATATATTCATGCAAGCACAAGTATACATTTAGACAAAAAAATCTGCAATTTTTAAGCAAGTTTTAAGAATTTATTTTTAGAGTTGAACTGTAGTTAAATACCCTAGTAACTCCTAGTAACAAAATACCCTAGTTACAATTTTTTCTACAACTATCAGCTTATGTGGTTATGTGGCCTGATTCTGATATTTTGGTTTAGAGACTTGTTCCTTTAAAATTTTAGTCACAAACAATTCTGATGCAATTCAATGAAAATACTTAACACAAATAATATTTCAAATGGTATAACGATGAAGCTTTGATTGACTGATTATTTTGAGTTTCAGGGTGAATCAACTGCTATGGTCATTAGTTCCGTAACTGTAGTGCACATTTTTTTAACACATAGATGGCAATGATCTTTCACTGATGAATGTCGATATCCAGCACCGACCTATATGCTAGCTTATGTGGTTTTCCTCATCTAGGTATCTCCCACCAGTTTTACTGAGCACAGCTCCAGGCAGGACAAGCTCGAAGCTCTAAGCACCGTACTGGTTTCATGGCCTGTGTGGTAGTGTAGTGTGTGTAAGTAAGGAATGAGGATAGGTCAAGGAAAGATTGCATGTGGTCCAAGGCCTGTTTTTTAGGATTTTGCTCTGGAGGAAGCTTTGAAATCAATTATTATACTTTGTTTTGAACTGCTAAGACTACTTGCAATTCTTGATATTTTTAAATTGATGAAAACAAATGCATATTATGCATTAACAGTGAACAAACATTATTGGTAACTTACTTTGTCTAGTATGAGTTCTGTGTTTTCAGGCATTGGATCCCACTCTAATTCTTGCTCTTGTGTTTTACCTATAAATATTGTAACATAATAGTTTATTAATAATCATGATGACACAGATGAAAGGAATAAACCAATACATCTACCCCTTAATATGATGATGATGATGATGATGATGATGATGATGATGATGATGATGATGATGTATCCAAAATTATAGATTACTGAATAATTCTTAACAGGGTTGGGCAATATTTAAATACTTGTATTTGAAATATGTATTTTAAAAACATATTGTACTTGAAAAACTGTATTTTTTTTGTTTTTAGGGTATGTATTTTAGAGATATATTTAAATACATAATATAAGTGTATTTAAAACAAAGAAATACTTAAAATACTGACAAAGAAAAAGATGGTTTAAAACAAAGATAGTTAATTTTTATTTGATTCCGCTAATGAATGCACTTTGTTGAAACAAATAAAAACTTCTTTCAGCTGTTTTCTGAGAATTTGGATTCTTCACATTTTTAAATGATAAATATAAATCATTAAAATGCTGGTCAATTTATCTGGTAAAAAAAAAGCGTTTTTTCATCATAATACTAGTTCATAGATGTTCATCTATGCCAGTTGAATGACTTTTCCTTTGCAGGTTTTATACATTCGCCAACTAGAGGTTTGTTGTCCGACGATGTGTTTGAAAAGTTAAGTCTTTTTAAAAGAAAATTTTTTGTGTTAGACATGTTTATATTATTTTATATGTGAAAATGTTCATACGTATGGTTACAATACATTACAATAGTTATGTTCCGAAATTTGTGTGACTGTCAATTACTAATTTACTTTAATTGAAAATTACAATATATTGTTGCAATAAAAGTATATGATACAAAATTATTTTACATTTAAAGTATTTTAAATATGTGTGTATTCAGCACATCAAGTCATTTGTATCTAAGTATTTTGTGTTTAAATACTTATTTATAAACAGTAAAACTTCACTTACACGTTTGTGAGGGGACTGAAGGGAGAAAATTTATAAGTGAGGAAAACGAAAACTGAAATTGATTCTTATGAGCGAAATAAAGATTTAATATTTTTACACCATCGTTTTCCCAGTTCTTTAGCAATATCTACCTTTTAATTGCCATTCTCCCTAACAACTTTTAAACATTTTACTCTATCTGATATTGAAAGGTTTTGCCTTTCTCCACCACTCTTTTTTCGTTTTAATGTCGCGGACGCAAAACCAGAGAGACGAACTGTACGCCGATTTAAATGTAGCGCCTCAGTGTCACAAATTACAACGTTGGCCAGCTTGGAAAAATGTCGGCGAAGGTCAGCACCGAAGAAGTCTCCCCTGAGGTGCAAGTAGCGGTCACGCAATGGGGACCTTACTGATGACCTTGTGCCAATCAGTTTCACTAGGAAAACGAAGGCCGTGCCCTGCGAGAGCTACACCTGGCGGCGGCGACCCGCGGCTGGTTGCTTCGGTTTCAAGCTTCATGTTACTTGAGTTTCGGCGGGTCAAAGCATAGTGTTCTACGTGGGCGACAGGAAGCGCGCGACTGCCACAGCTTGGCGACACACGCAGCGCCGCGCGGAAAAGCGACCAATTTCATTGGCTTCTTGCCAGGGCCGGATTTAAGTAGTGTAAGGCCCCAAGCACAAAATTGTGTTGCCCCCCCCCCCTAGAAAAATAGCTCCATATTTATTAAATAAACAATGTATTATAGTACAAGTACTTTCTGTACAGATACAAATGAAAACTGATAATTTTTTATAGAAATTTTTACTTGTGTTACATTTTTTTACATTAAATACATTTTACATATTTTTTTTCTGCTCTTCACTGCAGAATGCTTCACTGCTGATGTATGATAACCGATTCTAGCATTCTTCCGTTTTAGTATTTCATCTTACACATTGTTTGAGACATAAATTTCTATTTGGTCTATATAGGCCTCCTCTTGAGGGCCCCCATAGCTGTTAATTTGAGCATGAAAAACTCTGAGGTTTGCGTAAAAAAATTACATATTCAGTTATAGGTAAAGGAAATAAAGTATAGTTAATATTAGACTAATTTAACATGTAATAAATATTTTTAAATTATGTTTTGAGATTGTACATTTTGTTACACAGTAGACTAATTGATTAACAATTATTGCACAGACAAAAAAATGTGGTATGCGTATTTTTCCGAAACGCGAGGCCCCTGGTGAATGGGGGCCCCCAAGCAACTGCTTGTTTTGCTTGTAGGTAAATCCGGCCCTGCTTCTTGCGGCATGACGCTACCGAAATGATCTCGTATGACAATTACGGCAAGCAAAAGGGCATTCTGCGAGTGGAACAGTCAGTGCACACACTTCACATATTGGTCATCTACGTCGTTACTCTGTCCTGGGACCGCCTTCGACCTTCCCTCGGAGCCAGCCGTCGCCTCCCGAGATCTTCAAAGAGCTCCCGTACGCATCCGACTCGGAAATTTGTCGAAGTTCCGCTGCCGGAGGTGGCCCGGGAGCGGACTTTGCCCTACCACCCCGCGGGCCCGCGCGGTGTTAGCCCCTCAGCTACGCCGAGTCGAGCTTCTATGTTTCATGTGTCATAAACGGGAAGTCGCCTCAGAGGCTGAGCGAGCAGTGTTGCCAGATGTGTTTAGAGAAATTCCGCCATGTTCGTTTCAGTTTCCGCAGAAAATCCGCTGAACTGGTTTTAAATTTCCCGCATAAATCCTCAAAACTAAAAAAAAAAAATCCATACTTAAATGTATTATTTTTTTCTATTAAAACAAAAATATGATTGGGAAATATAGTGGCTTTATTGAACCTGCAATTCAATTTTTAGATAATATAGAATGCATTACTTGGGTAAAAATTTTCAAAATAATAGCAATTGATTTAAGGTATTATATTATATAATTATTATATTATTTATTCTTGTTAGTAACATGGATTTAGACATTTTAAAAATATGCATCTGTGCAAAATAACTTATTAATAAAGGGTAACGAAAACTGATGCTTTACTAATTTTACTACTTTAATAACATTTCCGCCGTTTATTCCGCTGTCGGCGAAACTTTTTCCGCCGTAAGACTTCAAAATCCGCTGAAAACGGCGGGAATTCCGTCGATATGGCAACACTGCGAGCGACAGGTATCTCCGCGGGAGCGCTCTCAGCGCAGGTCGCCCAGCGACTCACCGGGATCGTTTGAACGTTATGCGGTTGTAAAGGGACTTGTATTATGAACTTTATTATTAAGTGTGAGGACCGTATAAACGTAAATGAAATAATTTAGCTTGGGAATTATAGGAATTTATTCGGGACCTACCAAAAACAAACAAACGTATAAACTGGAAAAACGGTTGAATGAGAAACGTTAAAACGAAGTTTCACTGAAGTATTTAAATACTAAAGTTAAAGTATTTTGCCCAACTCTGCTTCTTAATAATATAAAAACAACGTTTGGCTCACCATTACTTTGGTTTCTATCATTGGGAATATTTGCCTGTTCATCAGCCGGAGGGGATGTTGGTACTGGTTTGTAATCATTTTTGGCTACTGGCTTCGGATCAGCACCATTAAATTGAGGTTTTGGTTTCTCTTGTGGTGTTATCTGAAAAAAAATCACATTCATTCAGTTTTATCTCGACATTACAAATGCAACATTAATTAATTCCAAGCTAAAAGGGATAACATTCAGAAATTCAAGTTCTTGTGTGTAAACCATTATCTGAGTGAGTAACTTGACAAACCTAGTAATTGTGTTTTCATGTCAGTTGCTAAAGAACTTACTATGGATGATTGAACTGAATCTTTGATAAAACGAAGATTCCTAATTCTTGATAATTTTAAGTGGAATTTCTCCATCTGTTTTACAAGCTGTTTAATAATCAGCATTTCCTGGGATTTGAAATTCATATAATAATTTAAACTTACTGGCTTAAAACCTTGAAGTTTAATGCTCGGTGTAAGGGTTGGGGGCTGTTGTGACTTTGGCCACATTATTGCAGCTTCAGCCTCCCGTTCCATCCTCCTCTTATGTTTACGATGTGTCCTGTAGACCTCGCAGAGTGCACAAACGACAATGACAATAAATATGCAGGCAAGGACCAAAAATATTACTGAAAACCATTAAAAAAATTATTACCACAATTTGCATGTGCTTATGGATACAGTAATTCAAAATTACTACTATTAATATTACTTTTGATAAACAATATTAGAAATGGAATAACAGTCAAAAATGATACACTTACTAGTACTGGATCCTCCTTTATCAATAGATGAATCAGAATATAAAGATTTGTATGGAATTCTCTCCGGCCGCATAGATTTCCAAGATTTTTCTCTACCCTAAGAACATGATCTTGTGATTATTATTAAGGTCATAATTTGAAAGTAAATTAGAATTAAATTTAATATCTAAAATAACAATGCTTACCAGGCTTTCATTTATTGGAAGTCCATCTATAATCTCTGGTATATCCAGAAAAGCTGCACATTCTGCCGTTTTAATACCATTTTGATTGAAAACATTCACGCCTTCAGCTTTTGCTTCTCCAATTTTAAAATATTCTTCTAATGGTTTGAACAAAATCTTATTTACACTCACCAATACATCTGTAAAGTCATGTCAGTTATTATTAAAACAGGAAAATAATATATCTCAGAAAAATAAGTGACATCAAATTAACTCACTCGAAATGCAACCAGTAAAGCCACTGTATTCAGCAAACTGTGGATTGCTGGTGTTAAGTCCACCAATATTCACCTCATTTGTCTCTGCACTAACATTGTATCCCTCATCAATCTGCACTTTAACCTTTTTGGGAGGTGCAGCTTTACGTTCTCGGTCAATCTAATATCAGTTTCATTGGCATTAATGAGTAAGTAATGAAAATAATACAGCAAAGTAATTTTCAATAAACTGAAATAAAATTAGAATACCCAAAGTTCAGCTGTATCCTTTAATCTATGATAATATATTGAGTGTCGATTTCCATCAAGAAATTTCTTCTCTACTATTGCCCTGTGACGAGTGCCATCTCTCTCTTCTTCAAATATTAATTCCATGCCATTGTTTGCAAGAGCAATTAGTAAATGATAGTTATTTCTAGAAAAGACAATTACATTTCAATTGCATTTCATTTCAAACATGACCTGGTAAGTGTAAAGAACAAATGGCGAGAACACTTTTTTTCTTCGAGAAAAATGAAAATGTAACTAATAATATTCTTATAAACAATCTTATTAATGAAATGACTGTATTAATGTGCCATTTTGAAATTTCCCCAATCATAGGTATTTCATAAATGTATTATTATCTTTAAATAATATGCTAATTGAAATTGACTTAACTTAAAATTAGATATTTTCTTCAAAAGAAAACAACCAACAACAACATAAAATAGTGAAAGTCTTTCTTCTTCAAGGAATTCTTAGTGATCAATATTGCTTACTTGAAGTCTGTTAGAAGTAATAATAATGGTCTCTTATCCTTGTTGATATTGCTTGAAAATGCCAATTGCACTTTCACTTCTTCAAAGGGCCCTTCTAGAGCAAATTTTCTCTGAATGATAGAAGTTCCTCCAAACGCAGCTCCTTGCTCTTAGCAACACAAGAGAGTTACAATGTAAAATTATTGAAATGTAATTATTAATGGGTGAAAGAACCAAAAAGTAAGCTACATAGGGAAGGAAGAGTTGGAGAACAATGATTTATTGGAATTACAGAATAAAAAGAAAAAAGACGACTTCATGGAATTAAAAAAACAAAATTTTTGTACCAATGAAAAATTGTAAAGAGAAACCCCCTATGGTAAAACTTGCTCAATGAAGGATTTAATGGTACTAGTAGTTTTCCACATTATATAATAAAATATTGTAGAATTTAAATTAGTTAGGACCACAGTTTTTGTTCGCATCAGACACATTTCTACATTATACATGCGATTGCCACATTCAGCTAGTTTTACTGCATTAGAAAATGCTTTCCTTTTTAGTGGTACACAGTTTGAACAGGTAAATTTTTTGAGTGAATTTAATTCTCTAAATCAATTAATTTATAATTAAAGAAAATCTTCAAGGAAACTGCCAAAACTTAATTTTTAGGCTGAAGGATACATAATACACCTGCTTGAATGAGCGGATCATTTTCTATATTTACCTTCTGTACATGTATCTCCGTAGTAAGAAGTTCGCTCACACACACAAATGGACTTCTCATTTTCAAAATCTTCTACACAAATGCCATCATTTTTGCATGGAGAGGAGTCACACGTCATATTACAACCTTCTTTTATGCCTGACCCTATATAATGAAGGAATTGAAATGAAACATAATTCTTCAAACACTGTTTTTGTTAAATAAGTTAGAGGTCGTTAGGTCTATAGACATTAAGGCTAATTTATGGAAGGTCTAATTTTTAAGGTTCAATCCCAAGAGATTAACAAAAACTCATCTAATAGCAATTGGGTCTAATTGTTGAAAATTTCTTATTAAATTTGCCATAGATAGACATGAATGTCTAATCCATTTTGGCTAACAGGAAGACATAAACAACATTGTCCATGATATCGTTGTCAATATATTATTATGGCAAAAATGAAATCAAAATATGGAGTGACAAGCTTAAATTCATAATGGACATAAAGTAAATACTAAGACAAAGATGATTAAATACTATATCTTGACTTTTATTTATTGGTATAGCTTGGAATTTTAGTCTGTAGCTCAAAGAACCAAGGTATACATCGATATCTTAACGATCTTTATTATTTTGGTTATTTGCCACTATCATCTTTACTGTAGGATTCAGTAATTGGGTGTTATACCTATACATGTCCTCATTACAACTAAATGATGAGAACATCTTTATTCCTCTGATCTCCTTTTAGGTGCCCAAAGATTTCCACTTGGAAACATGACCATGAGAGACAAATCATTTTCTGAAACTTGAAATGCCACCCTTCAACAGATTTTATAGTACATTTCAAGCAGTTTTCCCCACGTTGAAACACATTCCAAACTTCTGGTGGAAAACTTGGTACTGTTCTTCCAGTCAGTGACTGAATTTGACCTAGCTATGTAGCTAGCATCGAAAATCCTGTCACCAACAGGACTTGAACCCTAGGATCTCCCAGTCATACGCACTGCAGTGACATTCGTTAAAGCCCTGAGCCACTCAAGCCAGCGTTGACACTATGTTAATGGCAGAGAGCAAGAAAGAACTAGAACAGCTATTAGTAAAAGTGAAAAAAGGAAAAAAAATCAGGACACAAGCTGAACTTAAAAAAGACCATTGTAATGACAACAGGGCAGGAAGAGAGAATATATAGTGAGAAGGTAAAATCAACAGTTAAAGTAAAGTTTCTAGGAGTAACTGTAACAAACGATGGATTTTGCACTGAAGAAATAGAAAGGTGAATTTTGTGAGAAAGGCAGCTGTGAAAAAATGTAATAAATTCTTCAAGACTCAGGGTAATCAATGAAGACCAAAATCAAACTAATAAGAACAGTTATATTATATTATTCAGAGTCGGACTCTAAGAACCGTAGGTAGGAAAAAAAATTGATGCGTTTGAGATGTAGTGTTGGAAAAAATTATGGAAAATCCTTTGAACACACAAAATAACCAACAAATCTATTTTGGAAGAAGTGCTGCTTGAAAGGATTTAAAACCAGAGCCCTCAAATAAAAACTCCCTTTGGAACATTAGAAGGAGTTTGGACTCTTTGGAGAAGGACGTAATATTAGGAAAAATGGATGGATTTAGAAGAGAATGAGATGACATAAAGAAATCAAAAAAGTAACAAACTAACATGGAGAGAAGCAATGGATAGCAAGCCAGAATGAGATGGAGGAGACTTAAAATGAGGTGACCGGAAAAAGGCGAAATTTTGAAGAAGAGGCTGGCAATCAACTGCAATGAATATCCTGATATAGGATCACCAAGGATTGCATGTGATCTACATATTACGATTGCTTTGGGAACAGTGCTCTTGTTGGGAATTTAATTAACACGAAGTTTAGACCTATGATTTTCAGGCAAAATTTGCTCAATACAAAGAAACAAAAACTTTGCCATTGGATTGGATATCCATTACATCTGTGTTATCTACAAGACCTTCGGTGTAAACATATTAGACCTCCCTTACATGCTGTGGATTACACCTGTGGATTTGAACCTTCTAATTTTAGATCTCCTATGTTATTGGACCCTGTAACTTGTAGACCTTCCTTTACATTAGACCTACTGCACAATAGACCTCCTCTTACATTGGACCTGGTGATTGTTAGACCTACTGTCCATGGACTTAACCTGAAATGGTTAAAAGGAATCATACCTTTTTTGTCAGTGATAAGAGATGGCAAGTCCAGAGTTTGGTTCCCTATTTTTAGACCACGTATGCATCCAACATAGCCAGGTAAGGTAGGACCGTTTGAGTACATGAGTAAACTATCAGAACTGAAGCCTCCAAGAAGGAACTGAAAGTATGTTGTGGGAGGAGCAGGGGGCCTGTGTGGACCCAATACCTCTAAATTAGACATAAAAATACAATGGTAAATGTTGACAGACAACAAATATAAAATGTATTTACCAAATTTATTTTTGGGAAAAAAAAAAAAATTACAATCAGTAAATGTACCTAGTTCTGAATTATTCCATGGTTTGTAGGAATATTCAGTTAACAGTAAATTTCCATAAGGTACTGAAGTGTTTTTCCCATTAACATCCAATATAATTTCATCTTTCTTTCGAACTACTGCTATTTGAATGGATGATCCATTGTCTAACCCTGAAATACAAGAAATAAGTAGAAATTATTGCAATTAATAATAGATATTCTGACTAGTAATGGATTGATTTATCTACCTTCATAGTCTACGCTCAACTTCACAATAACATCTCCCGAGTTACAAAGGAGTACAACAGTTCGTCCATCCTTTATGAACAAATGTACGAAATTGTTTAAGTGATCATTAGCATAAAATATAAGAGCATCTGGCTTAAAAGTCCGTAAATTAATTAATATATTTTCAGTAAGAATATTTGATAATGCTTTTGAAGATTCATTTCTCTGAGTTAGATCATTCTTCTTCAAGTACGACTCTTCAGTCAGGAAAGTGAGCCCATTTGTATTTATGTCTGAAAGTTGTAACAAAATATGTTAAAAGTCTTTTCAGAAGTATGAATGGTGATTACTAGTGAAAAAAAACAACAAAACAAACAACAAATATAACTTACTAGTTTCACAATAGATTCCTTCATGGGCCCAAGGATTTTCACAAATACATTGAAAATTACTCCAAAGTTCTTTGCAAGTTGCACCATTAACACATGGATTTGGATCACAAGAAGGTTTGCAATCTTTTATTATTTCTGATAAGTGAACACTCATATAAGAATAAATGTCCAGAATTTCACCATTTACAACAAGACCTCTGAAACATCCAATAAGTCCTTGTCGAACCGAACTTTCCTTGAGAAGATCTCTGGAAGGAAGATGTTTACTTTAAAACCTTAATAATTTACAAGATAATTTTTGCATTTGTAAATGTTTCTATACAAAAATACCAACTCTGTAGCTCCTCCTATGAACATACTGCCTTCAAAGGGTCCAAATTTCTCTTCTGGACTCAAGTCAATCATTTCATAATCAGTATTAATCATGAATCGTACATGATACTCATTGTAATCAATCCAAATTTTTTGCCATTCACCATTGTTTAGTTGCCTCTTGGATCTCACCTTCAGGTCTCTGGGTTGACCAGTGTTCAAAGTAAAGTTGAACGTCAATTCAAAATCTATGTTAACCCAAAGTGAATTAGTATTTCTTCTGCTCAAAATCATTAACTATCAAAATCTTTATGGTATTTATTAACAGAAAGTGAATTCTAGGCTTTTGAAAGGAATTATCATTTACATAATATAAGCAAACACAAAATAATACAACAATTACATTATCTTGTAAGATCTGTTAACATACTTATTTTACAATGAATGAAATATTACATACCACTAGTTAAAGCTACCATAAATGAGGGATGTCTCTCTCTGATTGGTGGCTGATAAAGTAGAATAGCTTGCTCTCCTGTAGTACGGAAACTAAAAGAAATATCTCCTTTTCTCCAGCCTGGAACTTCTATGTAAGACTGACTTGAAGTAAAGGTAACAACATACTTCTGTGTATCTGTTAAAAATTGGTAACAAAAAATACAACTTTCTTCCTATAAATTGCAAGATTTATTTAAATTTAGTGCCAATGGCACAAAATAAGGAACAAAGTGCAAAAAACGTACTGGCTTCTACACATTCTAGAGGTCCAAGTGTGATTCGTCCTTTTGCCTCTGGTTTCAACTCCTTTTGCTGAAGGAAAACCATTTCAGTAATTCCCAAACTGTCAGGAGATGTGAATAAGCCTTCATCCACAAGCCATTTACCATGAGACCCATCGCAGTTGCAACTTTGACTTGGGTTAGCACATGTCCTATTCACTAGGAAGTCGATAAAATGAGGTTACAAACAAGTAAAAACACAAAAAAATTAAAACAATACATAAATTAATAAAAGTATATTGACAGAATAATTCATATATCTAATATATTTAAATAATAAAATGGAACGGGATATATTTAATATATCACTTTATAATAATATAAGAATGCCTTTAAATTTAAAAAATGGAAGATTTATTCTAGTTTCCCAAAAATTATTAGCAATGACAGAAACTTTTTGCATTATAAAATATTCGCAAATTAGGAAACATTAATGAACTCCAAGAGTTTATTCTTACAAGAGCATGGACAAGCTCCTCTTTTGACATTGCCAATGTAATCAACAATGTCATTTTTATGCGAAGAAGTAAACCATGTTGCTGAGTGCAGCTCAAGAGGTGCATCTTTACATTCATATTTTATGAACTGACTGCAGTGTAGAGAATGAGATATTAATTCTTGCAACATTTCAGCTGTGAATTCTCGATAATCAATTTTTACACTGAAATCTTCATAATCAGGTTGTCGAATATCCTGAAAAAGAATAAATATATTTATTGCTTACAATTATGCAAGATATATAGTAAGTAGTTTATTTGATTTGAAGGAAAAGCAAAAGCAAAAAAGAAGGGGAGAGAGAGAGATGGAGAGAGACAGTGGGAGGGAGAGAGAGAGAGAGAGACAGACAGACAGACAGAGACGGACAGAGGGAAAGGGAGAGACAGACAGACAGAGATGGACAAAGGGAGAGAGATGGGCAGAGACAGAGAGAGAAACCAACCAACCAAACAAGCAAGCAAACCATATTTTAAGAAAGAATGTTATCATAAGAAATACTATTTTTTTAAAAAGAATATGTGTGTGAATGTTTGTGTATGTGTGAATGTGCATGCATGCAAGTATGTGTGTGTGTGAATGCACGTGCACTTGCATATATTTGTGTGTACATGTTACAATTGCAAAATTTAAGCATGCAAATTGTTTATTGTTAGACATTTTTCACAAGATTTTTCTCACCATTTGGCTGGGTAGATTATGTTCTACAATGGTCTTTGTTGATTCTTCAAGAGACTGGAATTCACATTTAACATGTGCTGGCTTGAAGGGTCCATTACCATCTATGTCAATCAAGTAAATGTCTGGTTTTGTGTAGCCAAGAAGAGCCAACTCTTCACATGTCTTGCGATATGTAGCTGGAATAATGTATTATGATAATAACATTCATATTCAAAAGGAGGAAATGCACATAGCAAAATGATATTGCATTATTAGTAATATAATATATGGATCTATTGCCTCTAAGCACAATGAGTGATGTATATAATTATTAAATTAAAAATTATAGGCAAGATTATTCTCAGAGAATTAAGTCCACGACTAAAGATTTGATTTAAGAGATGCAAAACAAATAAAATAGCATGGTTTTTGATAGTTGAATGATTTTTTTTTATTAGAATTAATCATAGGCAATTTTTTCAACAAAGTAAATTCATGAGCTTTACAAAGTATTGCCTTCGTACCATTTCTGAACCTAATACAAAAACATTTGGGAGTTTATAATATTTCAGATACCAGAAAATTAAGAAGATTAGTATACATGAAGAAGAGGAAGGACATCTCATGTGCATGTATCTGTAATGTCTGAACTTCACATGGTTACCATGATATTCACTCTTTGTTATTACATGTGCAACCCATTTCACATAAATAGTGGTATCACATGGCATTCACTTACAAAACTTGAAATGTCTGGTACCATTATATTTTTATTAAAAGTTCTAAAATGAGAAAAAAGGTACAGAAGCAATATCTTGGCAATTTTTGTTTCAAAATTATCACTTTGATTTTGAGATTTTATAAAAGAAATGAATGTTTATTAATAGACTATTTTGAAAACAAAAGAAATGCATCCTTTTATGAAAAATTATACTTAAAAGATTCTTTGATGATTTAGCCTTTCATCCTCAGATCTGTTATCTCGGAGACAAAATACAAATTTGAGAGAATTATGGATCCTGGTTGGTAGATTCTAAGGTGATTGCTAAAACTGCAAATCTCTCAAATAAAAATATTGGTAAACACGATATCTTTCCACTCAACTCATATTCAAATTCCAATGCTATCTCATCGCTGGTCAATATTCTAAAGCTAGCCAGAAGAGGCTAGTACTTAGAAAAGAAGTATTTTATGTCACCATCTATGAGTTTCCCAGATACTTGTCATGAAGTTGAGTGGAGTTTACAAGCAACCATTCACTTGTAACTATATTTACACACAATTCATTTGTGTCAAATTCAAAAAATCAGGACACCTACTTCATTGCATTCTCTATAAAACTATCTTATTTTGTAAAATAGAGACCTTTTACGTCAGATACATTCCCTTCAAAATGACAATTTTACACAATAATGGTCCTCTATATCTTGCGAACTTACCTTACTTGCGAGATTGAGCAACCTTGAAGGTGGCGTTCAGGCCTTGACCCCTTTAGTGATGAGAGGAGACATTTCTTTACATGCTAATGTGCCTTCATTGTACCTTCATTTCTCAATGTATGCATAATATATATGTTAACTTAAGAGTATATGTTTGTAAAAATAATATTGATGCTTTACTATACTTTTTTAAATGAAACTTAAATATGGCTACAAGAATAATATAACAAATGTAATATTGAAACAAGTAAAACTGAATACATGAAACTTACATATGGTTACATGAATATTAGCAAATGCATTGTAGGGATGTAGTTGGTAAGAAACGTAACAAATTAATTCTTAATAAAATTATTTCATTATTATTGTTAAAAATTAATTGTCTATAAAACCAATGAATCATAGACAAATTAAACCAATGTCTATGTCATGAAGAAATAATAATTAACAAGAAAACATGTTCATCATATAACTGTGTAGTGCACTATTCACAGCAAAAAGATGATTTGTCACTATCATCACGTATGGATTTTAAGATCCTGAAACAAAATTTTATTGTATTTTTATTTTTAAAATATTTTGTTCTCTTTTTACTAGTCCAGCCAGAACCCATCCAAAATGACGGGATGCTTCAAATCTTGAAGAATGGGTGTCAAGTTGGCACAACCACTATAGCACAATCACATAAAACCAATTGGAGAATTTAGTACTCATTTGTTACTGATTTATTAGCCCAAAATTAAATTTTGTACAGTTGCCATTAATTAAACAAATGTAGTTGTGTCAAGCTGGAACAATCAAATTTAAACTAGTGGTGCTACAAAATGGCACAGACTTACTTGTACTAGTTAGTTTTCTATTCTCTATAGTCTAGGTTGGCTTTTCAGTATTGACTCATCCTCTTTTCAGCTGCCAGATATTGCAGCCTAAAGGAAATTTTTTTCAGTTTCTCAATTTTTTGATTTTCTTATGGTAAAATTGAACTACGACTTCAAGAATAGTATTAAAGTGTAAAAATAGGTATACATACCCTTTTTTGTTTAAAAATTCGAAGTAGTTTTTGAGAAAATATCGTTTTTGCGTTTCCGAAAATGCATAATTTTGAGTTCATTTTCACAGGAAAAACGGGGGAAGTGGCTCAGGGAATCAACTGATGTCACTACAGTGACTCTGACCAGGAGGACCTAGGTCAATAGATAGGTCGAATTCAGTCGCTGTCTGGAGGAGAATTCTAGCGGCCTGATCGGTAGTTTTCCGTGGTTTCTCTGATGTATACCAGGCGAATGCCGGAGCAGTACCCTAACAAACGGGCCACGGTCCGCGCGCAAGTTTTCCTTTCCCTTCCTTCTCCTATCCTCACCTCCAACACACACTTACAGGCATTACAGTGTCTCACAATTTGGTAGACCGGTCGGGAGCTTACAGTTTGTCCCGGCTTGAGCCGTGCCCCACTGGTGGAAGATAAAACCTCACATGCCGATAAGTAGGTCAGTGCCAGATTTCACCATCCAGCGGGGAAGTTCACCACCACCACCACCACCACCACCACCTCTCGAGGGAAAAATCACTACACCTACGGGACTAATGACCTTAACCGTTGTCGCGCCCGGAATCACTAATCAATCAAAACCCACGCAGTCACTCTTCCGACTCGTCAGGACCCACTAATAGGATCGTCTGCCCGTTGAATACCCACCTGGCACGCGCGTGTGGTCGGTCTTCCCCATCGACGCCTACGAATGCCTTCCGCCTTCTTCAAAACACAAGAGGAGCGACGGCGTATCGCTCGATTGAGCGTTTAGTGATTATAGGTGCGACAACAGCCGAGGTCATTATTCCCGTTAAAGTAGTGCATGCTTTTATCACGGGAGGTGGCGGAGATCTTTCCCTGCTGGACGGAGAGATCCGGCGCTGACCTACCGTCGGCTAACGGCTTCCCTCATCCAGGTATCTCCCACCAGCGGGGCACCGCCACAGTCGGGACCACCTCTAAGCTCCCGAACGGTCTCCTGACAAGTGTGGTAGTGTAGTGTATGTAAGTGTAAGTATGCGTAAGTAAGGGGTGAGGATAGGAAAAGAAAGAGGTAAGAAAGATCGCGCGCGGTCCGTGGCCCGTTTGCTAGGGTACTGCTCCGGCATTCGCCTGGTGATGATCGGAGAAACCACGGAATTACCGATCAGAGCAGTCGACCGCTATAATTCTTCTCCAGACAGCGGCTGAATTCGACCTGGCTATCTAGCCAGTGTCGACAATCCTGTCGCCGTCGGGACTCAAACCCTAGGACCCTCCCTATCAGAGCACTGCAGCGACTCGATGGCATGAGTCACCGAAGCCGGGCCCACGTAATCGCCATTCCAAACACCTTACATAACGCCTCCGCGCCGACCGTGCGTCACTTGGCTTCTCATTAACACAAGATTTAGCCCCGCTCCTCGCCGTCCACCACGCTCTTCACGAGGACTGTCCGCGACAACGTTGCTTGCACATTTCGCGGCCGACTTCCTTACTTCTTAATCCTAAAAGTTTCCAGAATCTCCCCACTACTGCCCCTGGGTATGCGGTCAGCTATGTCGCTGATCTCAACACTTCCCAAGCAGATGAGACGAATTGAAGTCGAAACAGTACAGCAAAAGATGACGTAGGCGTAAGCCAAAGAATATGTTTGCTAGTGTTTGCCAAAGGGTATCTTGTTTAAAACACCTTGACCAATGGATCCCAAATACCACTCAGAAATTTTGAGTTTTGGTAGGGTTGTACTCCACGAAGCAAACGCCTTTTGCCTGCAACAAATTCCTTACTACTTGCACCCCCAGCATAAACGATCTGTGTCATTTCCACATCCACGAGTAAAAAAACTCATTAACTTGCCACACCTCATAATTGGGCCCCAGCCGCTGCGCCCACTTGTGTCTACCGAACGTCATTCGCCCCGCCTACTTCGTGCCAGCGTCCCTGCACACAGCCTCTTTGATTTGGGAAGCTGTCGGTGGACATCGAACTGCTAATACGGCTTCTAAGAGTGCAACTGTCTGATGAAAGGCCCATCATCAGCGCAAGAGCCATCAAGAAACCTTCGTAACTTGAAACAATCAGGGTCCAGCATTATGCTCAATTCACAATTTACTAAGGTCCTCCGGCATTTCAAACATACTTTAATGATTTGAGTTCTATTGTATGTTTTAAATCATTATTAAACTGTCTTTGTATATATTCACGTGCACTGACAGGTTTCTCTGAACCCGTCCCGTCTTAGTAAGACAAACATCACTTAAACAACATAATCATCACGTAATCAATAATCATCACGTAATCAATAATCATCACGTAATCAATAATCATCACGTAATCAATAATCATCACATAATCAAGCACGCGGCTACCTACTACATAGCTTCCGAGTTCGACGTCTTTAATGATAGAAAATCAGCATTTGTAAGGGGCTTATCTTATGAACCCTGGGCGCCTTGAGTTGTAAAATTTTGCAAAAGGCACAGATTATTGGACAGAATGCAAAGGTGTAGGTAAAGTTCTCTCTCAGTTTTTTCTTTCGAATTTGACATAATGAATGCTTGTTAACCCAGTGCCGCTGAGAGAAAAATCTGGGCTCCGGAACAAAGAAGGCATGAGGCCCTTATACAAAAGAGTACAGGCATTTTTTTATGTGTATATTATTATTATTTCTTTCAATCGATTGCGTTGATATATTTAATAAAGGTGGTCTGCCTGCATCCTACGACGTTCGTCTGTTCACAAACTTTAGACATCTTTCTTGAATACGCAGTCTCTCAGAACGTGACGTAATATAACCTATAACCAGCGCCTGACATTCAAATTTGAAAATACAGTCGGCTCCGGTTATAGTGAACTCCTGGGATTAACATTTTTGGTTCACTATATCCGATGTCAAAATTAAATAGAATTTCTTTACAATGATTAATCTTATCATCATAAAGATACAGCAAAACACATTAACAGCACCAACGGAAAAATTCACTATATTTATTTGATTATTAAAGAAAACAATTATTCTCAATTCCTTCGTACATTTTCCATTAGAAATTTCTCTAGCTCCTTTTCCAGAGTTCGCGCTCTCTCCATACTTGATTCTGGATTGTCCACTCTCTCTAAGCATCGCAATGCAGTCTTGACACCATTCAATGTCTCTTGTACAGTTGGAACACCGTCCCACTAGTCGAAGGTCTTTTTACTCGCCTAATAACATCCTTTCGGTAGCGGCATGGCGCAAAAGGCTAATGAAACTGATCGCGAATGAAATATTCCGAGTCCGCTCAGGGGAGACTTCTTCGATTATGACTTTTGGCAGACGATATTTTTTCCAACCTGCCTAGTGTTGGAATTTATGACACTGAGGAGATATATTTTTGTTCCAGGAGGGAATTAATTTCCAGGACCTATTTCCTACGATCACTATACCCGATGTTCTGAGTTCACTACAACCGAATCTTCGTGTGAGTATTCGTAATGTAAGTGAAACGGGACCAGTCACTTGGGTTCGCTATAACCGAATGTTCACTATAGCCGAGTTTACTATAACCGGAGACGACTGTACATTTTCTTCAAAAATCGAAAAACATGAGGTTCGATAAAACAAAAAAATATAAATGTTTTAATTGTAATAAACGTTATGGGACGCGTCGGGCTTCATTAGCCCCCCTTCAACTCCGGGGTGGTGTACCAGCCGCACCCTCGTCGCCGCAGACCTGCTCAACAACGAGAAGCCACACATATTATGCCTCTCCTGCTCCGGCTGCTACTCACCAAAATGACAATTTTTGCCGATGTAATCCGTGTCTTTGCAGTTGCAGACTACTTGGTCGTCTTGCACCGAGCATTTGCCTCCGTGTTCACAAGTATTCGGACGCTTGCAGGCGTCAATATACTGACAATTATCAAGTGACACCTCTTTCACAGCATGCTTTGAATGCACTAGTCGCCTTGGGTCCTTCAGTTTACCATTAATTTTTATGTCTCTTAGACAACCAATGAGACCTGCACATGAACAAAGGTAATAACAATAATAATAATAACAAAACTAATAATAACAAAACTAATAATAACAACAATAATAATAACAACAATAACAATAATAACAACAAAAACAATAACAACAACAATAACAACAATAATAACAACAATAATAACAATAATAATGTTTTAATGTGTGTAATTTCATTACTAATTAAAATAGACAAAAATGTTTTACCTGGATTTTTACTGCCTGCTCCGTATCCCAACCACAATTTTCCATCCAAATGAAAATGATCTCCTATTTTAATAGATCTTGAGTGGTGATAGTCTACTGTAAGAGTCATCTCTCCATTGAGGTAAACTAATTGAATCTAAAACAGGTAATATTCTGCATTACATGGTATGTTAATACTAATAAAAGTATTTTGGGTTGTATTAAGGTTAATGAATAGTGAAGGTAACATTACAGTGGTGCTACGACAGCATATACATATTATCTTATTATTTTTAATAGTTCTGGAGTTAATCAAAAACCTGCGCCATGTTTTAAAAGTCCTTTTGATGTGGAAAAATTATTGAGCTTATTTTGAGATTTTTTAAAAATAAATTGCATTAACTTATGGTAGAAATCCGCAAAAAATTATTCGTTTAATCAACAAATTATACATGACCCTTTTAAAGATATGAGTAGGTAGAACAGATTTTATTTAAGTAAAATTCTGTATTATCAATATTGCACTTATGCAATGCTATTTTTTTTGCAGTTTTTTAAAATAAAGAGTTCGGCGAAAATGGAACCAACTCCAGTTCTTTACCATCCTTTGATACATACGAGAAAAAATGAAGGAAAAAAATCGGAGCAGTTTTTGATAAAATAATTGTTTAAATATTGCCTATATTTCACGCAAAATTACGCAAATACTTTTCATATGGTAGAAAAATTATACATGCCCTGATTTAAAGATCTATCTTTGAACAAAAAATTTAATGAAGGAAACATATCTGTATAATCAATATTGCATTAATTCCGTGGTGGTAGCACGGTTGATCCTATTTTTTTTTAAACGCTAAGCTCTGCGAAAACAAATGGCATCCGGAGATCCCTGTTATTTTTATGCGCGGTTCTGGCTATGACGTGCTTGGTCCACTCACGGCATATCTTGACTCTAGCAGCACGGGAGCGCGATATTAACTTGCTGTTTTATAAACAATTTCCCCTTTAAATAAGTACCAACGATGATATCCCTTTGAGGCACATTGCTTTTTACCGGGCTTTGCTGTCAAGAGTACGGAAACCGAATAAGTAGATGCATTTGCAAGTATGATGGGTATATTCCTGCTTGTACTCGTATGTGTTTAAGTAAGGAATGTGGTACCCATGAATTTCATGGAATTTATCAAAAAAAATATTATTTGTAAAACATTATAATGGTAATGAAAGGTATACTCGAAATGTGTAAAATTAGGCGTAGCGATATGGATCAACGTCGCTTTTTCGATAGCATCGCGGAGAGAACCATCACTGCTGGCAATTATTGGATCTCTGGTATGAAGAGAAAAGTCTTCTAGCAAGGCAAATGGCTATAAGACGGGGAGTTTGTGAGTTGTTGGAAAGGGACAATGGTAGTTTACGCTAGACGCAGGAGACAAATCGATTTCTGAAGTGGTTCAGACATTAAACATTTCTCGCTCTAGTGTGTAGAGAGCAACGTGAATTCCGTATTGAAGACATTTCCGCCAACCAATGACAACGTCGAGGCATCTCCTGTGATAGATCTTTATCTGCTTCCGTTTCTTTAGATTTTTTGGAGAAATTAACGGACAGACGTTCTCGTCTTGAAAAGAAAATTGTTTCTATTTTGCGCCCGTAAAGATGTGTTTGGAATGTTGTCATCAGTGCTCGTTGCGAGCTTTTGACTTTAACTGTTTATTGTGTCAGAGAGAGGGAATCGTTCAAGAAAAGTTGCGCGAGTAATAACGGTACACCATTGCTACACCTCGCTTGGACTCGCTAACAATTCGATTGGACTCAAGATGGTTGGCAAAATGAAGTGTGGTCCGATGAGCACGATTTCAATTAGTCCAAGTTGACAGTGTGTGCGAATAGTATGGAACCTGTTTGCACGGCATGCTTTCAGTTCTTTGGCTAGACTGAAACAGAATATCCGATTATCGCTTTGCTTAGATGCTGGTGACCATCTACAGTCCATAATGAACTTTATCTAACCTACCAACTAAAGGATTTTACAGGATGTCAAAGCGTCCTGTCACCGAACCACAAATGTTCGCGATTAGTTTAAGGAGCGCACTAGAAAAGTTCTTCCAAACTCTTCATTTGGCCACCTAGATCACTAGGCATCATGTCCATGAAGCAGACTTGGAATACGATCAAACGATTAATTCTTGCAGAAATACAGCATTTTGAATGAATGTGACCACATGGCCGCTCATCCCATCTGACTTGTTCACTCCATAATATACAAACTCAATACGTTAAAAATGCGTAGCTTGTTGCCAATCAGTCTCTCGGAAGTCGCATTACGCTGAACGCAACGATTTGTCAGTGCCTGGCATGAAGACATGCCACCCCTATCAACTGTCATTCTTTTATATTGGTTGATTATTTTATTAAAAATTATCTGCATCATTCATGCTTCAAAGTAGATCTTAGTTCCAGTGCTAATTGATTGGGAACTTACTTTCCGGCACTCGTTTGGCAGAGTCTACTTCGACCACATACATCATGGCCACATAAACAACTTATGTCACAGTGTGTTTTCTTTGCAATATTCAATCAACATGGCGGCCGCCTCCGCCTCGCGTATTGAGAATAATTCCAAGAGCAAATACTTTTAAGTTTCCAAGAAGTCTTAGTAAAAAACGCAACCCGCACGAAAGTATCCTTGACGTAATCATTTGAAAATCAACATTTCATTCGTACCACCAAAGACTCACTCTGTTCTAGTCACGTAAATAACTTAGCCTATCCAAACATCTGGAGGAACAACTGCCACTCAGCAGCGCTTAACCTGCTTCCGGTCCTTCTCCGATAATGTAAACCAGTGGCCAGATCCACATCCACGAAAAGAAGGACAAGGGTTAAACAAAAGAGGGCATGTGCTGAAAAAAAGGACATTCCATACTATTTTAAATAATAATGTAATATCGTGTACACATAGGTATACACGTGACATTGTATTTTTATGGATGTAGTCTCTCATTGTCAGATGTACAGTATCGATACATGCGAAACTGACGAACTTTTGTTTGAAATCTAGATGTCGGTTCCAGCTACACAAACTTTGCATTCATCTATCCTTCCCATTTTTAATGTAGAGTATTTTCGGGCTAGGGCATAGTTCAACTTGCATTTCCACTTTGGCGTTTTAAAATAACACAATCCATCTTCAGCAAATATATGACTAGCAAAACAAAAGTCGTGTGCGTTTCCTTACTCGTCAGAATCACCAGCAGTTCACAAAATCACTAAGAACAAGAATGAGGGAATCTCTAGATTTCACAAAGAAGATACAATATTCCGACGATAGTGCAACCACCTACATGAATGTTAGTATAAACAAGATTAAAACAAATAATTTCAAATTATCGTGCTCCCAGACAAGGAAGTTAGAAAAAGGAGGGCATTTCTTGAGTTTAAATGTAACTTCAAATTAACTTCTCCCCATAGCACGTCACAAACACAGTTTGTAACTGTTTTTGACGTAAATAAATAAATAAATAAATAAATAAAAGTTTAAAATATCCACCCTGACCCTTAACTGAAGAATAAAAAGGACACGTCTAGATAAAAGACGTCTGGCCACCCTAAACCTTCTTCTTCTTACTTTTATTTTAGGCTAGAGCCTATTTCTTTACAGAAATTTTTAAAAACCTGATACATTACATTTATATAGTCATATTTATAAATTGGCACTCTATTCATGCTGTCTTGTTTCACAAAATGTCTTTCCACCTAGTTCTTGGACGTCCTACTCTTCTCCTTCCTTCTGGTCTTCTATCTTAAGTCACTTTCATCAGTCTGTCTTCTTCCATTCTGTCTATATGGTCGTTCCATTTCTTTCTTCTTTCTCGAATCCAGTCTGAGATTATATCTATTTAGCAAGTTTGTCTTATATTAATATTAGGTTCTTTATCCCTTATCGTTTTATTTGTAATTTTTCTCAGCACCCGCATTTCCGACACTTCCATCATTTGGCATATTTTTTTTTTGAGTCTGCTCTCGTTTCAGCTGCATATGACAATACTGGTCTAATTACTGCCTTATGTATTCTAAACCAAAACCAATCTTCGCCCTAAATCAATCCCACGAATTCTTAACTATCCCAGAGACGAAGCTGAAACCGCTCTCTTCACCACCCACCGCCCTCCGCTGCAATAGTCACCCACGCAAAGAACCCCTCCTCCCTTGCCACATCTCTCCCAAGTCACCCCCCTCAGTTATCCATTTAATATGGAGGAAAGAAGGGGAATGAATAAATTAAAAAAAAAAAATCCCGAAGTTTTTCATATTTACCCGGGATGGATGAATAATGTGACGTTTTACCAAAAACAACAACAACAACACAGAAATCGCTGCACAAGCATCATTTAAATATATAATGGGGAATACATAATATAAACTATATATTATTAACACCATGCAATCAATTTTATGTTCTGTCTCGCAGGTGACAAAACAGGTACCAGCATGTGGGGGTCCGACAAAACGTAAGCTCGCACTCTCTTAATGGCAGAGAAGCCATACCTAGCCCAATTTCAGAAAACGCCAACTTTACACCCTACAGTGTTACGTCCGCTAGGTAGTACGGTAGCTATTGTCCGTTAACTTGGCTCCCAGTCAGTATGAAACCGCATGCTGCTTCTGTATTAAGTGAAACACGTTTATAAAATTATTATGTAGCTAATGCAAACTTCAAAAAAGTTGTATACGACTGGAGTCAGGGCTGACGATCAGTCGGGTGTGATCACTGTTTTCTCTCTTCTCGAGGTTGCTCCTGGTAGTGTTTTCCATCGTGATCCTGGATAAAACTGAATAAAAGAAGTACGAAAAACCGATAGAATACAGTCGGAATGAGAGTTTCGTAGGATTCGGACATCTTAGCATGTTGAAAAATCTGAACAAATTCCTTACAATACGTCCCCTTTACATATACAATTTGTTTGTGTTTGCTCCCGGATTGACACTACACGTGATAGACAAAATAATCCGCTCTTTGTTGAGTTTTACTTATTGCTATCGTTCAATTATATATATATATATATATATATATATATATATATATATATATATATATATATATATATATATATAAAATATGTGTAAAGACTATATAGATAGAATAATATATATTAAAATTTATTCTTACTGCATGCCATCCAGGATCTCCATCAAACTTCACCGAAACCTCTGCTATGTTGCTGATGGACGTGTTTGGCACAATTCCGAAAAATATTTCTTCGTTACTTCTACGAATCTGCAGGAAAAGAGCATTCAAGTTTGTAACAGGTTTAGTTTTTTACATATAAACAATATCTTAATATTATGGTAAATGAATCCAATATTATGGTAAATTAATCCAGAGTTAAATCTCAACAAATAAAAAAATTCAGTTACCTCCCAATAACTATTTGTTTGATTGGCGCCTGACAAAATTCCTGAAGATGCTAGGACTGCAGAATTTTCAGAGCTTTTAAAATCGAAACTCAAGCTCAAATTACTGGTTTGTTTGAGACTCCACCAAAGATATGAAGATAAAAACGGGAATGTTAGAGGTATTACTTCCACGTCCGTTTCATAAAATTCTGGGGTCAAAACTCCAATGTAATGAACCTTGGGGTTTCCCTTTTTTAATTCATATATAATTGATATGTCATTGAAGAAAACATATTTCAAGCTTCCTACAAAGTTGTTGGTAGAGACCAGACCTAAAATGAAAATGAAAATTACGAAAATGCAAAAACTGAACGTCTGTCCATTGAAATGACACGTGATCGTGTTACATACCTTCCTTTTTTTCTAGTTCTGGACCTCCTCCAAAATAAATTTCTGGATCTATATATAAGAAGTTGTTGTCACCTTGAAGTTCAATAGTTTTTTTCTCATTGTCATAATGAAGGTCAATAGAGTTGCCATAATGCGCCAGAGTAAAATTATGCCAGTGATTTGCAGCTGTATAGACTCCAATTGATGTATTTACTACATTTTCTCCTATTTTCAGTCTCACGTAAATGGTACTATTTAAGAGAGACACCGCAATGTAATGCTGCCCTGGCTCTCCACTTGCATAAAATAATACAGAGTCGTCATACAACGTCTACAACAATGGAAAATTTAGCATATTAAAATGTTTGTATTTTTCTTCATGAAAATGCATTCATTATACAAATATGTTGGTTACAAGCGAAAATGGCACTCTCAGAATCTTAAATTTAATTCATTATTTCTAAATTATTCTTAGATAAAATTGTGCCAACAGAGCCTTCATGTTTTTATAAGCAACAAGTTGTGAGTATCAAATGAAATATAACCACTTACTTTGAAGTATAAACTAATGCGATTTTGACTAGAATGGACACGATCTTTCCAATCATACACACGATAAGACACATACGATGACCCTCGTAGAGTTAAATATGTTGCAGCTAAAACATAACATTCAGAAACATAGTTTATAAAAAATGTATGTATGGTTGAGATAATGGTTTATATTCATTCAAAACGACTTACCATAAATATCACATAGTTCTCCTTCATATTTTGTCCCAAAACAATCGCAAGTATAACTATTATAATGATTCATACACTTGCTCCCCACAAAACAAAGATTATCTCGAGTCTTGCATCTGAAATCACAGCAACAAACGGCTTCAATATAAAGCAAGAGAGGCATTTAATATTTATTTTTTTTACATCCAAAGTCCAATCTACGCGACACGTAAACCCTCACATCAATTCAAATTGAAGATTGAATAGTATTTAAATTTCTAAAAAAACGTTAGTACGTGGTGGCATATTCAACTGTTACATTGAACGTGTTTGTAAGAGGAGTTATTTGAATGTTATTATTTTTTCATTAACTTTATTTTAATTATATTAATGACTAGAGTTCAGTAAGCATAATGCCTTCAGTTTTTTTGGGCGTATAACTGCATCAACAGGAGCAGTACAATCAAACCAAAACATATTTTTTCCTGTAAGAGATTTCATTGGATTCCTAGTTTTGAATTAAATTTACACATTACGGATTCAAGATGTAGGGTTGTAGGGGTGGTACTAGCTGCAATAACATTTCAATAACTTCGATTTTTATTTCAATAACTGGTTCAGAAAGCAGTGTGTTTTGAAGTTGACGAGATGGCTCCTTGGTTTGCTTCTAAATATAAATGTATATTTGCTATGCCCATGTTTTGTTGAGATCTCCTTTTGCTCGATTTGATAGATGACATGGGAATATGGATTGTTATTTTGTTTGAATTAAAAAAGCAAATCTATAGTTCGTTAAATAATGCAAATAAGTATTACTCGGGAGCGAGCATTTTTAATTTTCAAATTTTACTAACAAGACTGCCTTTTTATTCATCATTCAACTATATGATACATAAAAATCATGGTTGTTTGTTCGTATGTAATGCACTGCCGTACCGTTCATCCGATTACAATAAAACTTTGTCAACTATTGCTTGCACATGCGCAAAGAATATCGGCATACTATAATGGGAGAGAGTGTATATCTGTGGCTCGTTGATGATTTTATTCATTTATGATGACTCAAGCGCCCCTGACCAGAAGCGCTATGCAACCCGCCGCACCCTCAAGTATTAAGCGCGCCTTCGCTGCATATTCTGCCCCTGCGATTATGAAATATCGGCTGGAATTATTACTTGAACGTTATCTCGGGCAAATCAAATTTCTTCAAGACAGTGTCATAGCGAATGCACGCCCAAACTAAAGAGAGAACGTTTCAACAATAGGATACTTGACTGCCATGACCAAACCAGGACATAGAACAAAACCCTACGACGGAAAAAGTCTTTTACTTACTAAAATTTTGTAGTGCGTAGCATAAATCTTGATTAACAGTTACGAGACCAGTATCGTGTGAAGTGTAATATATTGCAATAGCGAAATTTTACCGGGCCCACTAATATGTAGTAAAAGAGTGGAGATGAGATTCTGGAGCTCAAGAAAACGTGAGCAGATAATACTTCTCAATTCGTCACAAACATTTCAGTGATTTAGACGAAAAAGATGAAGTAAAATAGAAGTTTCTCGTTCTTTAATTGCGATTGTGATTTTCAATGATGTGTTTCCGGCCGAGAGAATTTAGAGGAAGGGGCCTTGTATTACGCACGCCCCACGACCATCCGCAGTTGCCTATAAACAAATGGTGGCTCGGCATTCAATTTGTTGCAAAAATGGCGGCGCTTCAGCCCCTGAATGTAGTAATATTATATCTCGGTGTAATAAACACTTTCCAACCACGTGACGTTCTTCCATTTAATTCAATCTTTCTGACTTTTCTCCTGAAAATGTTTCGAATATTGACTACTGGCCGAAACCAACAGAACAGCAGTTGTTTGTCAGGTGTAGCCTTTTAGATATTATGTCAAGTATCCAAATAGAACGTAATCAACGTGTAAATATTTAAATGATATCGTTTTGACTTGAAAAATAAAGGACAGAAATGAATTGAATAATCGTAAGTAAATTTTTGGTATAAATCATGCTTATGGAAAGTTGATGTCAAATTTTCAAGTTCATAAAATTGATTTGAAAATCCGTAACGGAACATACTCATAAAATATCTTTTCATCATGACCGTAATGAAAATAAATAACTATTTACATCAAGACTCTGGCTAATTTAAAACTTCCTCTGTTGCTACCAGAAACAGAAGTATTAAGTAGTAAATGACATACATAAAAAAGTTATTTTGTAGAACATCAACTATTTACATACTTATCTATGCAACCTTCGATGACATTTTCATGCTTAGTTGCAATTAGAGGCTTAATTGGAATGAGTATGTGTGCATCTTTTCCAGTTTTCAGTACCATATTTTTGATGCAACCTACAAAGGATTCTATTATGTATTTGACCCCATGCAATCTCTCTTCAGAGCTCAAACCTGCGTTCAGAAAAAGAAATAAAATGTATCAGTTAATAATAAATAACACAAGAATACATCTATAAAATGTAATTAATAGTAATTTTAAATAAAACAATAAAATGGCGATTAAAACAGGGAGTTATGCTACAATGTCAGAAAATGAGACTGCTTTCAGCAATAATTCATTAGAAAGCAACAGAAAAAATATTTTATTAACACTTTTCCTTAACACTTCGTGGGCCTATAACGGCTATGGCAAGAAGTCCCAATTCATACAAGCCTTGCGAGTAACATGCACTTAATTTCAATATTGCAACTAAATAATTTGACATTTTAATATTTCGTCTAACAGGCAAGTAAATTGGAGTTTAACATAAGTGAATCATCCAACCACAATAAAGGTCAAAATAAAATTATTAATATAATATAACTAAATTTGCAATGCAGAGTAATTGAAATATATGACAGAAGAGCACCTCTTTGAAGCCAGCTGACTTGCCTGACATAACAGATGCAATTGAAACTGTACTTAAGGACTAATTAATTACCTTAATTTTAATTTAATTAGGTCATGAATTGTTTGAATAAAAAGGGTCAGCTAGCTTCTGGAAGCTAGCATGCACAAAATCCAAGCGTTTTGAATTATTTTTTTGCAACAAGCAAAAATGTGCCAACTATTTATTTATTTATTAGGATTTTCTTTTATTGTAAATACATTTCTCTATTTTGTATACATTTTCCAATTTGATTTATTATGATCTGGGGCTGCATTTGGTTGCAGATCTCATTCCCAAAAGCAGACAAAACATGCACAGAATATAGATTTAACTAATTTTTGAAAGTAACGGGTAAATAAATGTACTATAATGACTATAAATCATCAAATAAAAATACATAGTTTATCATAAATGAAAAATTCTTTACGAGAAACCTAGTCGGCTAGACAGTATATCAATAGTCTAAACATAAACACACCAGAAAAATCCAGTATGCGGCTCCGAATGGGAGTGGGAGGGATTTAATGGGAGTGTTTAAACAATGTTTTATTATTACATTTTTATCAAACATTTGCTTTACATTAAACAGTTCATCATGTTTAATACTGTCTTGTAACCTTTCTGCGACAATGCAAAACAATTAGCGATCAGAAAATTAGTTTATTATGATGAAAGGGCGGATTTTAATGACATGAAATTTTTTCGTTTTAAAACAAGGCTTTTCAGAATAGACATTAATTTTAATGATCATTGTTCATCTGCAGTGATTTTGATCGAATTTATTACGTCAATAATTTTATCTTTTTAGGGCACTTTAAAAACATTTTAAGAGCATTTTATTGATCGTTTTCAGGCGATGTTTTAGGTCATCAAAATCCTCCCCCCTACTAGTGTGTATTTCGTGTTTATGTTGAAACGATCATCTCGGTCTCGCTCAGCCGGGCGCGGGCCGCCACTCACCGCCGATGAGGACGACGGACTCGAGCTCCTGGTCGACGCCGTAGTTGGCGCCGGGGCGCAGGCCAGCCACGGGGCTGTCGCGCTGCGCGTCGTCCACGCCCGCGCTCAGCTGCCGCCCGTGCACGTCGATGCGCACGCGCACGCGGTGCCACGCGTCGTCGTTCAGCGCTGCGCACACCACCACGCCACACGTCTGTCACCCCCCTCTACGCACGCGTCGCTCGGAGTTTCTTGGCGGTATAGTAGGACTTGCTCAATGCGGGATCTCAAGGGACCGTTTTTTTTTTGGTATTAGACAAGATTCGTAATTCTAAGGAATTTACGTTTCTCGGGACACGATTTATGTACACATTAGACAGATTTCCGCATTATGCACAGAGTTTCTTGGAAATACAGTAGAACTTGCTGAATGTGGAGTCTCAAGGGACCAGTTTTTTGGTATTAAACAAGATTCGTAATTCTAAGGAATTACCGTTTTTCTGGACACAATTTATGTACACATTAGACAGATTTTCGCATTATACACGGATTTTCTTGGAAATAGAGTAGGACTTACTCATTGTGGAATCTCAAGGGACAGTTTTTTTCGTATTAGACACGATTTCGCATTATGCAGTGTAATTCTAAGAAATTTACAATTGTTGAAACACGATTTATGTTATTTGACAGATTACGGTATTATACGCGCCCCGCATTGAGCACGATTTACTGTACTGCATGTTTTTACACGATCAGAATACCTGCATTTAATAATATTTTAACAAATGGTACACAATCGTACTTTGTAACTTCAGATCTATAATCGTTAGACTAACTAGCTTTGAATTTCTATTATTATTATTAAGATATTTACTCCATACTAACTTTGCTAGTTTGAGACCTAAACAGAAATTTTGATGGAATTTCTCATTAACTTTCTGAGTTGCTTTTCTCTTATTTCCTTTCACAATCTCAAATTATAATTATTATAGGAGAAAACACTGAAGCAACAACTGATAACACCACTTTACAGAACTGATATCCAAATTTATTGACGTTACATAGTCAGTATCAGAAAGTAGGCAACAGAGAGCGGAAGGACTTTTAAAGAAGAACCCATAACTGCCCATCCACTTACTGAAATTGCAAAATTGAACATGTCGAACACATCACATTTAGGACAATCTATTTGCTGCGATTTAACTGAAAAAATAGTAAAGTTGAGAATGTTCAACTGTTTTGTAAATAATAGTATAGAAAGACAAAAAATGTCAAGTTTTAGTGAACAATCACTTCATTCATGTTATTTCTTTCATGTATATGAACACAGTTACAAAAGACAACATCAGAAAATAGTTCGAATTTGTGTTACTCAAGATATTGAATTATTGAGACAAGGCAAAATATATACATTACTAAATTTCCTAGTTTCTGATTAATAATGTAATAAAATTTCTGATAAATAACGTCAAGTGTTCAGCATCAACATGAAATCGATACATGTATCGAGGGCGAATACTTACCTTCTCCTACCACCAAGGACGTTGACTTCTTTCCAAAGACGTGCAAAATCTTGAGCTGCCCGTTTTCTACGATTATGTACAAAGCGTAAGGTGCCATACCCTCCGGCCGGCCCTTCACGCTGTGGTAAACCAGCAACCCATGGGGCAGACGTGTCCGGAATTCGAAAGAGATCTCACGGCAAAGTCTGTGAAAAGTAGAGGTAGTTGTTCGTAACTTATGTCTAAAATCCTAACAGACCTTCACAGGTGTCTAAGCATTGATTTCCCAATCATATTATTTGTCTTTAGTAAGCAATCAATAAGCGTCATTTAGTGGGATACATAGCAAAATAATTCAATATTAAACAAGAAATAGGAGCTTACGAACGAATGCTTGTAAACAAAAACCCATTTACTTATGACTCTACTGTTTTTGTATCTTATGTTCTTTATTTGATACGATTAAACTGACAATACACTACTAAAACATTTGAACATTATAACATTCTTGATTTTTAATTTTTTCAAATCCGTACGTATATACGGAAAATATATTAGTATAGAGTAGGCAGTAGTAGGTAGTAGAGTAGGCTGCGGAAAATCGGCTTCGATATTTCTACGGAGGTACACATTTTGAGGTATAGGATATGATTGGCTGAACAACAATCAAGGATAACGTAACAAGGATACTGGTTGGGATTACAAGGATCATGGTTGGCTTCACAAGATTCATGGTTGGCTCTACAAGGATCATTGTTGGCTCAAGTAGGATCATGGTTGGGTCAACAAGGATCATTGTTGTCCCAACAAGGATGATGGATAACTTAACAAAGATAATGGTTGGCAAACAATGATCATGGTTGGCTCCACAAAGATCATGGTTGGCTCAACAAGGATCATGGTTGGCTCAAAAAGGATGATGGTTGGCTCAAGGATGGTTGGATCAACAAGGATCATGGTTGGCTCAACAAGGATCATGGTTGGCTCAAAAAGAATCATGGTAGGCTCAACAAGGATCATGGTA